TAGGGAGGCATGATTCGATTAATATAAAACAGAATAATTTTTCAGCAATTTTAGAAATTTGACTAAGTAAACTGATAGGCCAATAATTTTGAGGAAAAGTAGAACTTTGATGAGGCTTAGGGAAGACAACAACAACTGCATGTTTCCATACTTTTGGGAAATAAGAGAGCTTGATAACTGAGTTAATTATTTTAGTTAAGCACGTAATTGCATTAATTGGAAGATGCTTGAGTGCTTTGGAAGTAATGCCATCACATCCAGCAGTTTTTTTAGTTTTTAAAGAGCTAATAAAATTTGCAACAATTCTCGGAGAAGCAAGAAAGGTGAAATTAGGTGGTCCAGGGCTATTAAGGAAAGAATATACTGTTCTATTGACTTTGATCATTATCATATGGGAAGCATTGGGAGTAAAGATATCTTCAAGAATGTCAGCGAAAGTATTGGCTTTATCTTCATCAGAATAAACAAGTCCATTGCAAGTGGAGGAATCTGCTTGAAAGGCTTTTTGAATTTACGAGCAATGTCATAGAGGAAATTGTCTTTAGTAGCAAGAGTGTTTAAGAAGTTGCTCCATCACTAAGATTTAAATTCCCCGATATCTTTTTTAATGGTCCTTTGAAGAGCGTTTAAGTGAGCTTTAATTCTTGGGTCTCTAGTAGATTGCCTTTTATATTTAATATTTTGCCTGATGTTATTCGGAAGAGGAAGAAAAGGATGATTACTGATGAATTTATTGGTAGCAGAACTTAAAGCTTGTTCAACACTGTTGGTAAAATTTTGAATTTCCGTGTCTAAGGCTTCTTTACTGCTAATGCAAGGATTTCCTGGTATAGTTTCTGTCAGAATTTGAGAATATTTTTCCAATTGGTAATTCCAATACTGCGACCTAACGCAGGAAGGAAGCAGTTTATATTAATTCAAGCAAGATAGGATTATGATCAGAAGATAAAGCAGGAATTGTAACTGAGGTTATTTGAAAGAAAAAAGTCTATGATGGAGGAGTTATGGTAACCAAAACGTGTTGGTTCATCAGGAGCATGTATAACATAATTTCTATCCTGGATCAAATTGAAAATTTCAGTACCTTTTCTATTGCTTGCACCAGGATACAACCATTCATGTTTCATATTAAAATCGCCACCTACAAGAGAGGGATAATTAGAGCTCAAAAGATGTTCAATTTCAGCCATAATTGGTCTATGATTCGGTGGAATATAAATATTGGAGATTATGAATTTGTTAGATTCAATTTCAATTTCAATAGAATTACTCTCAAAAGAAGTAGATTGGTTTTGTTTAAGTTGAAGCTGTATACTCCTTTTAACGAAAGTAATAATTCCACTTCCTCGCCCTGTAGTTCTGTCAGATCTGAAAGTAGCATAATTTGCATAAAGTACTTTGCTTGCAGGTTGTAAGTGAGACTCTTGTATTAACAGAACATCCGGTTCTAGTTCAAGAATAAGATCACCCAATTCATCCTTTTTGTTATTTAAGACATTTGCATTCTAGAAAATAATTTTAAAGCTTCTCATATTGAAGTTTTTAGGCATATTAAATGTAAATGCAGACTTTATCAATGATGTTAACTATGATGCTGATTTTGTCAATAGCAGATTTTTGTTTTTTCATTTCCTTTAGGCCTTCGGTTATTGTAGTCCATATAGTTTTTAAAGATCCAAGATTGAAAATTTCTGAGAGCGAATTATTTGCTTCTTGGGGTTCAGCGAAGTGCGCATTTTGATTATTTTCTAGATTTGTGCTGAGAGGAGGGAAATCTTCTTTATGCAGATTCCATGGATTTCTGATAGGAGGTTGGCTGGGAGTAAATTTTAATCTATTTTGTTGAGGTCTTGCTGGGCACTGAGAGAAATTTGCCGGATGTGGCCCTTTGCAGTGATAACACGTTGCAGGTTTATTCCTGTCAACAGGACAGTTTTGGGTTCATGGTTATCTCCACAATGTACGCAAACCCAGTCTCTAGTACACAGAAGAGAACTATGAAAAGATTGCTGACATCGATAGCATTGGGATGGGCCGGGCTACCGTTTCAAGTATTCAGCAGACATATTCATATGTCTGATGTGTTTTAGCTCAAAGATTTTCGTGGCAGAGTCCGTTTTTGGAATGTGAATTAAAAAGAGAGCCATTGGTTTATTTTCTTTTCTATTACGCATTAAGGTTATATAGCTAACTTTAAATCCTTGGTTATTTAATTCTCGGACGATATAGTTAGTGTTCATCGTAGTTGGTAAACCTCGGATAACGACTTTAAGCACTTTTTCATCTGGTAGTTGGAAAGTGCGAGCTTTTAGTTTAGTTTTTTCAATTATTTTTCGGACGTAGCGGTGAGTATCAATATCAGGGAGCTCAATATGTAATTTTTCACCTTTAAGTGTTCCCATAATCTTTTTGCCAGTTTGTTTGCTTAAATTAGCAGGAAACTCATCAGCTTTAGTCACATTATCCACTATAATGGGTGGGACTTTATTGCTATTATGAGATTGTCCTTCTGTTGATTGTTTGTTCTCTGATGGTTTCTTTTTATTTATTTTGGATGTAGAAGCCCTTGTACCTTGCTGACTAATAGTTGGTTCTACATTATTCACAGATTCTTCAAGTTGCACGGTATCATCGTTTGATTCCAAGTGTTGAAATTAATTTTTAATTTTCAAATTACTGTCTTCATTTTCACTATCTGAAGAGTTGGTAGATCGTTTATGATGTCTTTTTCTTTGTTTAGAAAAAGCTCCTCCATTCTGTATGGATTCGCAGAATTGTTTTAAGTCTTGAATTTATTTTTGAAGTTGATCATTATTAGTTTTAAGCTCGTTAATAGTTTGAGCAGCTTGTGCATTTTCTTGTTCACGAAGTTGATTAATTGCTTTTGCAAATAAAAGATGAAGTTCGTTTGCAATCTCAGTTGGACGTTCAGAAGGTGTTTGATTCAGAGCATTTTTGATATCAATGACAATTTGTCTGGTAGAAGAGGCATCATTAGATAGAGTAATTTTATTACTCAAAGCATGAATCAGTTGCGGTTCAGAAGTCACAATTGTGGAGTTGTTGTTGGAAGTATCAGGTGACGTAGTAGAGGTGTTCATGTTCGCTATACGTGCAAACGCAGAACCTAGCTGAATAGAAGAACTGACATCTTTAGATGTCATGCGCACATAGGAAAATGAGAGAATTAAAATAAGCTGTAAGCTATTAAAAGACCCTGAATCTTTTCTATAGACTTACAAAAACAAGAAAGCGATCTAATGAGTTATATCAGCAGCATTATGTAAGAGTCACATGAAATGGATTAGTCTCAAAATGACACAGTGCAAAAAAAAGGTTACTATTTTTAGAATGAAGAGGGGAAATAACAAATTAACAGTAAGTATTAAGGGGTCATTGCTAAGTTAATAATTTACATAATAATAATAATGATTTACATGTACTACAAAATACTTTACATAATTTACAATTACTATAATTTACATATTTTTTATCTCACACACACAGTGTGTGTAAAATTTTATGGCTGAACGAATAAAAATGTCATGATTTGTAAATCCACACTCCTACTAATACTATGCATGGTTTTGGCATGTTCAGGATAATTTGCCACTTTCTGGAGTATCCGAATGCCTTTATAATAATCAGCCATTGAAATGTCTTTTAATTACCTCGTTACATGTCCTGAATACATGAAATATCTCTAAAATTGCATTTTTAGGGCAAAACTTCAGGAACAGCAAGTAGTCTGTAAGTACCAAATCTGGTGAGTAAAGGAAATGATTAAGAAATGTTATATGTTTTTTGCCACTAAACTGCCCCTAACTGACTATTAATCTGCTTGATAACTGTCATTAAACTTGCTGAACTGCACAAACAGAATGCCATTGCTCCTTTATGTCTCTTCTTTAAACCAAAAATCAGATAACAACATCATAAAATTAAACAAACTGTTCTATCTGCCAGCAGATGACATTTTAAAGAAAACTAGTTCTTATGTCAATAATCACTGCTGTTATTCTTTCTCATTCGGCAGTTTTGGCAGATATAGTTAAAAAATGTTCCATTCAATAATAAACCAAGGTTAATTCAGAAGTCAAACAACAAAAATCAGCGTTATATTTACCAAATTTTCACAGGACTAGTTTCGATGGTTTTACCGAACCACCATCTTCAGCTGCAAAACCTTTTGCAGCTGAAGGTTTTGCAGCTGAAGATGGTGGTTCGGTAAAACCATCGAAACTAGTCCTGTGAAAATTTGGTAAATATAATGCTGATTTTTGTTGTTTGACTTCTGAATTAGTATTTATTCGGCGTGTTATTGTGTCTTAAACCAAGGTTAAGTTTGGTATCGAATTATAAACATATTTATATCTGGAGGAGCAAATAATTATGACATATTTTCATCAACTTTAGGAAATTTGATCTGTTACAACAGATATGATGATATGGAGAACAATAATGATTAAAGAATTATATTTCTCTGTGCATGTTTGATAAAGGATTTGGATCTATTCAGAAACATTGAGATAGATAATTATTAGGCCTATATATGGCCCTTTTAAGTGGTTCAGAATAGGGATTTGACTTTCTTTTTATGAATGATGATGACTACATCAAACAAATGTGGTTGATGAATTCTGAGTTTTTTTAAACCAAAGACACTGAGCAAATCAATAGGCCAAGGAAATATTCTGATTTGGCTTCCATACAAAACTTACAGGGCACCTTTAAAAATCTGTAGCATAATGAAATTATATCCCTACAGATCTCAGTGGCCTGAAAAGAATACTTGGATAAGAATGGAGATTATTCCCCAAAACTTTCCTTTTTTACTCAATCAAATAATATCATATCAAAATTATGCAATTTAATTACATTTTACAATCATCTAGAAATCAACTGATACAATTACTGAAAATGATGCTCATAAAAGCACTATAAAAATAACAATAACTTATAAAATAAAACAGATTCTCTGGTGTAAAAGTCTTACTTACTTAAGCCATATGGAGAAGTGACTGGAGATTCTCCATTGCTAATGGATGGTTTTTCTTTTCCAAATGGTGTACTTGTTAAAGGACTGGATACATTTCTCTGTTTGAAGTCATCATTTGGAGACTGCATAGTTAATTCACAAGCTGAATCTGCTCGTGCACTGGGATCCATTCTCTGTGGGAATGTTGTATCGAGTCTTTGTTCCATTCTAAGAACCTATATAGACAATTAATGTATTGAGATCCATTTTTAAAACATTTCAATGCAGAATCATAGTTTCTGATTAGGTTAGGTTATCTGAATATGGCAAAGCATAGAAGGGCTTTTGCCTAAGGGGAGAGATGCGTTTGTGAAGGATTTTTTAAGGAAAATTTGCTTGTATTCATGTTATACATGAAGAAAATCAGGAAATTCAACATGCACCCAGCAAGTTAGCCATGCATTGAACCCAGATCAACTCCAGTATTTAGTAGACTTGGTAGAATCACCAGTTTGATCACTGGAAGAACCACAATATTTTCTGAATAGACATTAGATAAAAAATTTTTTTAAATTAATATTCAGAAATACAGGGTGTTTATAAAGTCCCGGAAACATTTTGATGTTTAGTAACTCATAAAATAATAAAGATAGATTAAAATTAATAACATAAATGGTTAGACAGACTCAAAAAGTTTCATGACCCTTGTCAATGAACTTCCACGTGTGTTCCCTTTGTCGCACGGAGAATATCAAGTCGATATTCAATTTCACGCCAGGTACCGGCAGGCATGTCGGTATCCACAGAGGCTATTGTGGTTGTAATTCTGGCTTTTAGATCAGAAATGCTTGACATTCTCCTCCTGTAAACATTGTCTTTTACAAATCCCCAAAGGAAAAAGTCACATCAGGTGATCTGGGTGGCCAAGGAATTGGACCTCCTCACCCAATCCATCTTCCTGTAAAACGTGCTCAACATCAAAATCACTTGTGCAGGAACGTCCAGAACATTTCTTATCTGCGATACTTCCAGTTTCTAGAAAATTCTTTTTCCACCGCAAGATGCAGCTTTTGGATGGAGGATCTTTTTGGTAAGTTCTTCAGCAATTTCTCTGTGTTTGCATTATGGATTTCGTTTCTATGAACCACCATAAAATCTGCACTTTCTCTTGTGGTATATGCATTCTCCTTAATATACGGTCAAATAAAACATCACATACAAAAGTACTAGAACAAACACATCAAAAGTAAACATAACATTTCAATAGTTGCCAAAAAAAAGAGAAAAATGCAATTAATAAGCAGACAATATTTAGAAAAGTACAGATATTTAGACTGGAAAATGAAATTATCTGAAATTAACCACCTGCGCAAACGATATTTACAACAGTAAAGATATTCAAACCTGAAAAGGAAAATATACAAGTTATTCCATCAATAAATGCCATAAGTTTGTTTATATCTTCCTTATTTTATGAGTTATTAAACATCAAAATGGATCTGGGACTTTATAAACACCCTGTACATCTCACACAATATAAAATAAAATAATAATTCTAAGATGGAATTACATTAGCAGAAAATTAATAACCCATAACAAAACTCGCATTTTGCTTTAGAGAAAAACAATTTCAATTCTAACAAATGTAATTTTTAAGGATGAAATATATCACATATAAAAATAGAATTTTAATTAATTTACAAATCCCCCCCCCCAATGGCGCACTCTAACCATTTATAGGCATTGGCTGCTACTAAGGTTGCAAGTGGTAGTCTCTTTATTATAGAGGCACCTAATATGTGGGCCACAGTTGCCTCCTATGAAGGGACAAACAAATTACATACATGCCTTCTCCGGGATTCGAACCTGGACCCTTCAGTGCAGCAGTTTTTTATTTCCAAAGTACTTTTGCACATTACACTTTGTTTTTCAAATATTTGTGAAATGAAAGACCATGATATTCATACTAATTTGTGGTCATACTATGTAACAAACCTCGTTTTGAATACAAAATATATTAAATATACTCTCTTAAAGGGGGGAAAAAAACTATATTTCTACCGTGAATTAGTGATCAAAAATAAATTTACAAGATTCCTACATATGAAATTTTCATACCTTTAAGAACCATTCATGAAATAAATTAAAGACCTATTAGCAAATGGTAATTGAGTGAATTAAAGCAATTATATATGCTCAAACTGCACTTTTGTGGCACCATTCTAAGACTACAACAGATATGTAAGTAGGATAAATTATTATTTAACACAAACTAATACAGTGCAAAGTCTTTAGTTCGGACTCATCAGGACTTCGGCGATTTTGGATTAGGGGTTTTTTCGGATTATAGATCATCAATTTAAATCTGGTAAGATGGCATGCAGAAATTATAAAATTGAAAATATGAAACCGTAATATTTGAAATAAAGAGTAATTATGATCTAAAGGGTATCAAAATTTACAAAAAAAAGCTTAATAATTATTTGTTTACTTTATAAACCATTTCTTTCAATATAAGTTGTTTAAGTTGTTTCGCTTTATGTACTAATACTTTCTCTTTAATTCTATAAACAGACATAATTTCTTGTTCAGTTACAAAGTTCCGCTGTTCAAGTCCTGTAATTGCTGTGCCGAGAATACCAAATAACTTGCCAATCGAAATTTTTTCGTTTTCACTATACTCTCTGTCACTTTCTTCATGCCTTTATCCATTTTTTTGCAGCAATTTCACTTTTTGTTTGATGGACATCGAAACATGCTTTCACTTTGTATATCCTTTGGCAGCTCCAGAATCAGAAACTCTTTTTCACATAATCAAAAGTTCAAGCTTACTTTTAAAAAATTGCTCTAACAGTCTGCAAAAAATAATAAGCCGGATCCAATTAGAAGATTAAGGAACAATGCAATCTGCAACATTAACTGAAATAGATAATTAGATAATTTTAGCCTAGCTTATATCATCCGTTATACATTAAACGTGCATGCATGAAGGTATTATGCACATTCGTAAATGCTATGCAGAAAGTTTGTAGCTTTGAGATCTGGTCATTCCGGATTATGGATGTCCAGATTAAAGACTTTGTACTGTATTTAACCTTTTTGAGAAATATTGGTTGATATTGCCAAAAGATGGCATTATAAGTCCATCTACTTGATTTACTTAACGTCTCCTCTTCTGAATATGTGACTATGAAAAATTAATGATTCAGTCTTCTTTATTATGCAGTTCAAACTGCACCACACAGTATTATTGACTATTAGAAATATTCAACAAAACAACCGAGTTCTGCCTTTAAGTTTTGTAATTCAGTTTAGGCTTTTAGCCTCTCTCACGTATATAAGTATATATTAAGATTATTTTAGATTTAATTAAAAGATAAAATAAAGTTTTACATTAATTTTTACATTTTTGTGTTGCACATTGCATCCACAGTAAGGATTGATGAAAGGCTGTAACTAACCTTAATATGCAGAGAACTTCTAAAAGTTAGTTACAAGTAATTAAATTAGGTAGTTAGATACCCTTAGTCATCATAAATTTACAAGATTACTATTAAAATTTTTCTTTTACTTTTTAAAAATATTCGCTATTAAAAAGCATTATTAAAATCATAATATAAGAACATTTTATAATTTAAAATAACAGATATATATTATACATATAATTTATGAAATTGACTCTGAAATGCTACTAGGATATTTATACATTAAAACTAGGATAATTATAGATTATACATTAAAAGCTACTTGTTAATGTTGCAACAGTACACTTTTGAAGAAAAATTTTCTTTCTCTTCATATAATAAACTTCTTCCTTGGTAAGTTTCCTCTTCATTTTAAAATTTTCAGATTTAATTAAAGATTTCTGTTATGCTAAAAAAGACTGCATGTATTTACAATAAATAGAAGAAACTGCTAATTTTATTTCTTTAGTAATATGAGCATTGAGAATAAATATGACATGGCCAGGGCTAGTGCCAGAGCCGGTGCGGCAGAAGTTTTGGAATTTAGTGAAGCAGCGAGCAATAAAATCTAATGGTGGAAAAATTTTTAGAATTTAAGACAGGCACTGGACAACAGAATTCAAGGGCAGCAAAAATTTCAGAATTTTGAAAGGTACCAGGCAACAGAATTTAGGACCCAAAGAGATTGTATCAGGTGGCAAAATGCCTACTGCAAGCCCTGTATATGATGCACTGAGACATATAAATTAATCTTTTAAAAATTTTTATTAATAGAAAAATTCATTTCTACAAGTGCCAGCCCATGTGATAGAATAAAAACCATTTTGCAATTTTCCATCTTTATGCCTAGTGAAAAGAGGAGAAAATAAATGAAAGAAATGCATGTTTCAGTGAAAGACTTCTAGGATCAAAAGTAGGAGATTCAAATAACTGTTTTCACTGTTCTTCCAGAAATTCTGCAAAAAAATACGAAATTCATTGAAAACTTCCTGTAAAACTGCAAAATATATCCATTATGTGTGAATACCATGAAAACATTGTAGAGAGGGGTTGTAGAATAAAGATGTAAAAGGAATCTTGCAGAGAAAACTGATGCACATTTGTACATTCTGAGACATTTACATGAGAAAAACCTCTAACCATGAAAAAAATTTAAAAAGAGCTATATGAAATTAATTAAAAATTTTTAGCCTAAAGATGCATTAGACATAAAGGGCTATTAGTCTCAAAACGGCATTGTGTATCACTTCATTTTTTGCATTGATTCATTTTTCAAACTGTTGCCACCAAACATTATTGCCATGCATTTTATTTAAAGAAACTAAATAGTAAAGATTCTGTATGAATTCATGAATGTTTCTCACATTAAGAAAACACAATGGTACCTAGAGCCATCAAATTTTGAATAACGTAGTTCTCCAACCGAACATGGGCAATCAGTAGCCTGAATTTTGAGTTTGTTTTATTATCTATTTCAAATTCTGTAAAATTTTAACAAATTTTTTATTAACAAACTCAACGATTTCATAGTGAGCAATAGCAACATTGTACAGAAAAAAATACTTTTATCTCCAGTGCGCAAAACTGTGTATTGGAAATTCTGAAGATATGCTGTTTTTAAATATTTTGTCATATTGCTATTGAATTGAATTTTATGTGGTTTAAGTGCCAGGAACAGGATATTTAATAAATAAAGGTAACACACAAAACATAAAAAAAAAGTGCTTTTGGACGTAATATAATATAAAATCTGAAGGCTTTCCAGGTTTTTTTTTTTATTTATTTATTTTTATTTATTTATTTATTTATTTTATTATTATTTTTTTTCTTCTGCCAAGAAGTGTTTCAGAAACTGTGCTTTATAGCATTTATTATTTTGCTTATTTTTTCGGTCTCAAAGTATTCTTAAGACATCAAAATGGAAAGTAATGCCACTAATAATATGACAAGGGAAAATAAAAATATTTTATTTAATGTTATATCTTAAATACAATTTTAATACATTACCATAATTTTTTATATTTATTTATTAAATGTTTATAAAAGCAAACCATAAAAAATTCAGAAATCTCGAATGAAAAATGTTGTCTACAAATTGACTTTAAAATTGTAAAAATGAAACAATACACCAAATTTAGCACTGTTCAACAAAAGGATTCATATCCCCAGAAAGAAAAAGTTTTTTTTTATTGATATTTTATGAATTCTTCATTTGCAAAAAAAAAAAAAAAAAAAAAAAAAAAAAAAAAATTCAAAGTGTTTACATTTCACTTCCTCCTCAGAAACTGAGTATAGCACTGTTTACATTAGAAGTAGGAACAAATTCAAAGGATAATAAATCAAATACATATTTGTCACTGTATTGCCGAAAAATATTCCTCCAAAATGCTAATTCACATTCAAAATAGCAAACAACAATATCAGATGAGTAAAATTAAGGACCTTTTGCCGATTTTAACCAATATTAAGAAATTTTAAGGACCTAAATGTTTCCAAAAAAGAAAACCTAAGAATGTTTCAAAGACCATATCAGTCCTGATTTAAAAACTGCAGAGACACTTACATGAGCAATATTTGGCACACTTGCTGTCTTCCGTAAAGGCTTGCCCTGGGCTGCAAGCAATTCTTTTACAGCCACTTCCTAAAATTTGTAGGGAGAAAGCATTAATAGTAATGATGCAGTAACAGATAGAATATATTATTTAATAGATTATTACAATTATTAACAGAAATACAAATACTGTCGAACCTATCACACACAAAAATATAAAATTTCCACTTACTATTTAAAAATAAAATATTCTAATTAAACTGTTACATAAAATATTTTACTTAAACACACCTGTCTTAGTCTATCAAGCATCAAAATGCTTTCTACTGCTGATACACCCCGAGTGTATTTTTCAATGTAGCTTTCTCCATCATTCGTATGGGCATCTTCACCAGAGGCAGCCATAAGTGCAAGCATTTCTCGATTTTCAGGATCTTCTGAAGCCTATCATCAAATTTAAATACATCTCAATGATTAATTACATACTGTTAGAAACATCACAAAATAAAGCATATAAGACACTGGATTTATTTTAATATTTATGTTTAGCCTTGTTCATTAGATCATAAATAAGTTCTTTCTGAATTACTCACTGTTTCTATAGCAAGTTTGAAATTAATCTCTTTATGTACCCTGTGGTATGAACTCATATTTTTCACCCAGTGAAAAGCTTTTTGTGTTATGCATTTTAGCAATATGATAAAGAAATGCACTAGATACAGAAACAAACTGTTGTGTATTACGTACCTTGATTAAAAACGTTTATAAAAATATGAATTGAATGGGAATTTTTTTATCATCTCAAATAAACATATTTTAAATGTGCAGCATGATAGTATATAAAGAAAAAAACGACATCAATATACAGCAAAACTGTACCTTTGGTATATTGGACACAACTTCATATGTGACCCCAGTTTGCAAAAGCGTGTCCTGAAATAAAATGAATACACAATTTTCAAAACTAATATGGCTGAATCATAAATAAAACAATATATATAATCACAGTTACACTATAGAACAATATACTTTGTTTCCACTTTATTATAAATTGCAATAATACATGTTCAAGATTATCTGTTGTGAGTATATTAGGCTTGGAGAAAGGATGGCTTTGTTAGTAAAATGTAGTCATATTAAATGGTAAAACACAGAAAGCATAAAAAAGAGAAACATTTTAGCTTAAAAAACCTAATTATTCCAAGTAATGAGGAGGAGCAGTATTTTTAAAGAACCCAGCTTCCCAGAAAAAGTGCTACAAGCGTTACTATGAAGAAGCACTTACTAGGTAGTTTTCAGTTTGACCCTGAATATACAGGTGCCCCCACAGACACTAAAAAAATAATGATAAAACAAACATAATAAAGGAGCTGTAAATAATAAGTGAGCACCTCTACGTATATAAATCTGTGCAGTCAAAAGACCAAAACCACTCATTTTAAAGGAAAAGCAAGTTGTATTAAAAGCAGGTTTGGTATTATTTAAAGTAGATTTTATAATTTTTTAAATTTTATTACAGAATAAAAATACTGAAATATATTTATTTACACAAAATTGGATTTCACAAAAACATAAATTAAGCCTCAGAAAGAAATGTTACATTAAAAAAACATTTCTTTTAAATCATCACAAAACTTTTAAATGTACAAAAAATTTTAATTTTTTGATTTTAACGAAAATTAAAATGTACCACAACCTAAATCAGAAATTCCCAACTTTTAGACACATGTACATCCAGGAATTACATTACATGATGTATGGTAAATTATAGGCAACTGTCAGTATTTTAAATCAGTTATAAAGGAGTCACAATAGACAACAAAATCACTTTGAAGAAATAAGTTTGGTGACTACTTCTTCAATATATAATCCAAATTAAAATTTTATATAATAATTTTCAAAATATTTTATTCTGATATTAAATTTATTTCTGAATTCTCCATACTTCCTACCTTTAAAATTATAAATTATTAAGTTAATTTAAATTATTAAGTCAATACAACTAAAGCCTCATAATAAATAGCATTTTTAAGCTGCATATATAACTATATTCTAAGGTCATTCTTTTTCTACAATGACACAGTCTTCAAGCAATGATTGCTTGAAGTACTTAAAGTGAATTACTTAAAGGACCAATGGATTTTTTAACATTCAATATACTTCTAAAAGGATGAAAGAAATATTTCACAAAAATTACGAAAATGAAATGACATGCAATTCATAATTTAAGGCTCTACTGGCACAGCAGGAAGAAAAAATTCAACAACAAAATGTCATCATACACTTATGACACCATTAAAAAACATAGCTTTTCATTTTTATTTCATTAGCCAACTTAAAATGATTCCTAAATGTATAAAAAAAAGGGTTCTGATATAAATTAAGAACGTATTTTGTATTCTAGCATTAATACTTAATGATCTGCCCCTTCACATTTTAACTAAAGACCAGTTCCTTGTTGATAGGTAACACAATATGTCAACAAATACCAGAGCACAGGAATTTCTGATGTAAACAGTGCTTGATACTCTGGATATGCATGAAGTGATGCATATAACTTTTAATTTTTTAGAAGTAAAGAAGTTATGTGAATTGTGGTACATTACTTTTCTTTCAGAGGCTTAACTCCATGGAAAGATAATAGTAGATATTATGCCTTTGATATTTCATAACATTTTAACTATTGCAATCAAAACGTGCCTCATAAAAAAATCACAAAGAAATCCCATTATTGAAAACGATAATAACATTTAAAAAATCTCTGAATTGTAACTCAGAGTTCATAAAAAAATGCTTTATGAAATTTATCATCAACTTAAACTTTCAAAATATTAAATTTTAATCAAGATAACATTTTTTTGCTTAATTTTGAAAAGTTTATTTTTATAAATTGCTTTGCATAATAGGACTTACAAATGACATATTAAAAAAAAAGTACAGAGAGCAAATAAGAAATACTTACTTGGCGAACAATTTTTTTCTTAATTTTGTCAGCTATGGACTGTTTTTTATACACATTTATGGCAAGTCGCTTGCGCAGCATGACATCCATTGTGGCAGGATGACTAAGACGGACTGATGCTTTCAGTATTAAATATATGCGGTCGTTGGGTGATGTGGCTCGGTTTAAATGAATGGAATCATGAATAGAGGAATCCCAAGCTGCAGTTGCACATACCTAAAAATAAACTCTGTTTTAAACTAAGATCTTAAAATAATTTATTATAAAGTCAATTATAAAAGAACTAGACAATAAGAAGAGAAATATTTTCCTATACAAAATGAGTCTAATTGTTATAGAAGTTTAAAGAAAGTGCTGCAATTTGAAAACGAAGGAATCAAACAAAACAATAATGATATAAAAATACACTCTGTGATGTTTTAGCTACTAGTTATAGCAATATTAAACTTCTAAAATAGTTACAATTTTTTAAAATGTTTCACTGATCAAAACTGATTATCGTAGTTTTTTCTAATAAAAGCATGCAATTTTAAAAACAGTTTAAATTTTTTAAATGTGTATCAAAGTCCTTCATTAGTAAGATTACATAAATTAAAAAAATCAGCTTTTGAAACTATTCAGCAAATGCCATACCTCCTTTTCACAATATTTTACTATTGGCAGGTTAAAGGACTGACTTCCATGTTCCTTTGGAAGTATGGAATTAGCTCCAGCAATACGAATCTCAGAATCTCCTTTCACAGGTACACTCATATCATCAGCTAAAAATAAAGATTTACATTTTATAAACAAATATAGATAACAATATAAATTTTTCTTGACTTTTTAATCAGTAACAGAAAGGAGAGCAATTTTGCAAAGTATCAATTGTTTATCGGGGGGGGGGGAAAAAAAAAAAAAAAAAAAAAAAAAAAATACTCTGTTCGTTTTTCAAACCCATTTTTCAATTATAAAATCATAAATAATTTTTAGTCTAAAGAAAGTACAATTTACTTCTATTATACTTAATACATTTTTAGTATTTATGCTAAAAATAAATAGTACTTCAATGCAGTTCAGAAATTTTACTTAAGTCACATTTTTTTTTTTTGTTGTTATTTAACAACTTTTAATATGAATTATTTGCTCAGTGAAAAATTTAATCACAAACTTTAATTTTTAATCCTTGTATTTATACAAATCAATTGCTTTATTAAATCCTAAAAATATTTTTTGAGTAGCAAATAATTTATAAAAAGTTTTAAAACAGAGTTAGATTTTGTAAAAAAATAAAATAAATTTTATTTCATATTTTCTTCAATTAATATTTAATTCATCAGAATTCTACACAAATGCTTTCACGAGACAGTGTATACCTTTCAAATGAAAAGTTTTACTTGGTGATAGTTATTATGATCAAAAGATACACCCCCTTTTTGAATATCTAAAGAAAGAATTTTCTTGTGTTGGATTGAGCACTTAGCAATCATTTCATTTACTTAACTTTGTTTATATTTGTAAATGATTTTAGCTTGTAATAATATGTAATATTTATTTAAATTATTTTATGCAAATCTTATCTTTAAATATAAAAGAGAAATTCTAATTTCTTTTTTAAAAGAATTCAAAATGTTGAAAATGTATTAATTAAAATTAACTGCTGATTACAGAAAGCAATCAATATTAAATTCTAAAAAAATGTATATTATTATACAACAGATGCATTTAATCTTTACAATTCCATTTTTTTTTTAAGAAATTTCATAAGAAATGAAAATATTAAAATGTTACAAATTAGTTGTTGCAGATAATTTTTATTCTATAATAACTTTTGCACTATAACAACTTATATAAAAGTGATATATTAATCAATATTGAACTAACCATTTAAATCAAGAAAAATAACTGGAATGTGCTTTTCCATTCCCATTGGAGGATCCCTGAAAATCAAATCATCAGAATTAATTACATGTTTCATCTACAAATGATGAAAATGTTTCTGTAATCATATCTTAAAAATTAAAGAAAATATCATATGGAAATAACAAGTTTGCATCAACTATATAATAACTACTGCAAGTGTATGGGAACTTAATTTTCTTTTAAATTATTGATGTATCAGAACAACTGACTCATGAGCTACTAGACTGGATCAAAAATAATCCTTCTGAAATCTGTATGCAAGATAAAAGATTAAAAAATTCTAATATCAATTATTGCTTAGTTTACATGTTTAAAAAATTGTTAATTTTTTATTTTGACTAATTAATTACTTTGTTATAGAAAACATTCAGAATGCTCATATGAGTAAATAAGTCTTAAGGAATAAACTATTCCTTTTTCTTGTAATGCTTTTTAAAAAATCTGATGTGTACACCATATGACTTCCTTGTACGGAATATTAAATTATACGCATTTTTTCTTGCTATTTATTTAAACTTATTGGATTGAATTAAACATACTTCGCCGACAGCGCATAAACCACAATAGAATAAATGCATTCTTTAAAATTCACTTTGTTTACCATAGCGACACTCTGGCGCTAGGTTTACTTAACAGTATTATATTTCATTCATATTATAACTCAGAATGCACAAAATGTATATCATTTAAAGAATTATCTAATCGTTGCCACATGTTCTATTCAAATACTATAATAAAGCTAGAACTATGTATAAAAGAAATTAAGCAAACAAAACAAAAAAGAAACAGTTTTTCACAGACGATTGAGTATTTCTCATTTCAATTAATTCAGTTCTCACTTCGCGAGAAGGCAAAAATACATAAAAACTCAAAATATCTATATTAAAAATTACGAAGTAAATCTCAAACGCTTATTTCCTCGAAAAAATTCCAGAAAGAATTAAGCATGATTTAATTGGCAATAATAAATGAATGCGTTATCTTTGTTGTTGCGAAGCTAAGTTTCTCTAGATTGGCAACAAATCCACTAGTCTCCTGTTTCAAATGTAAACATCAATGGCCGCCATTAAAAAAACAGGCTTAGCGGCAATTAAACAACTTTAAAATTGCTGATAATTCTAAAAATATTGCACACAGATTTACTAAAGGCATAAAATCCTTAACCGGAAGATAAAAACAACATAATTCAATCATTTTTAAAGCAAAAAATGTACAATTTACAAACATATAAGAGTAAAGAAACTGAGATCACTGAGCCGGGTAACAGAGTGGATATATATATAAATATATTTATATACGTTTGGTGCGGCCGATTGCAACCAAAATACGAGGTGCACATCTACATGTTATAGCAGTCCTATATACAAAATTTCAACGTTCTGAGGCTACTCGTTTTTGAGTTATGCGAGATATACGTACGTACATACGTACGCACGTACGAACGTACGTACGTACGACGCCACGAAAAATTCTCTTCAGAATTAATTTTAAAGCAGTTTTATAATTTTTTTGAAGGAAAAGAGTATTTTATTCTGTCCTTACGTACAGATATCACGCAAAAACATCGTTAAATTGCATTCGATAGTGGTCAAAATGGATATTTTCGTTGAAATATGCTGCCTGAAACTTTTCGCGATTACAATACTTCCTTTTTACTTCGTACAAGGAAGTAAAAAAAAAGGAAATGCAAATTTATTTTACATACGTAAGACTAGCTCGTATTTGATTCAACACAATATATACCCTTTCTGCATTCTCCAAACATGCATTTGGAGGAATCAATTATTATGAAGCAATTGATCTCTGCAAGTTTAATAACTGCATAAGAATCTATTTTAAATAATCAATAAATTTACAATACAAACAGAATATAGAAAACTTTAAAAACATTCTAATGGTCTCCATGAGCTTCTCAACATATATGCACATTTTATTAACAACAGATAAAACAAAATGTAATTCACTAAGAAATATACAGCCATCCACAGTTTCTACATCAAATTTGTGTTCCAATGGTGAAAAATTATAACGTTAACAAATTATTTTAAATGCAAACCAAAAGCAAATATCAGAAGATTCTACATTTCATGAAAGGAAAACTATATAATGGCACTTTTAATAACATGGAGTAGGAAGATTTGCTTATATTATCTTAGATAGTTATACATTTCTGTCTGTTAATGCACCAAGATACTTGCATTAAGTACTTTTAGCACATCAGTTTGCAATCAGGACCTGATTTAGATAGTTTTGCATCTTGGGCATACAGCTCTTTCAGTAGTCTATTATGCCTGTTTTCACGAAAGAAAGCAAGGTTATACGAGTCACAGGATGCTTTGGTCAAGGATTTCTTAACCCATTCACGGGCTTGTCCTTCCGAACAAAATACTTTAAAAATGGGTGTGTTGTCAGCTAACAATTCACTTTCCCCAAAAAAATTGCTTTCTTTTTCCGAAATCGCTCTAAGATGGGCCACTGCCTACTGTGGTATGTTCACTTCCCCTTAGAGTGATCGATAAGCCATTAATAAGCCATTAAATGACTACTAAAGCCCCCACTACTAAATGGTAAGAACTACTTGTTGCATTGGTTTCATATCTCTTATCTCTTTTCTTGGTATAGACTCGTTTCATTAATATCTGACTTCTGAACTTTTCTGAAATCTTTTTGATGTATTTTAGCTTCCATGCTTGTAATTTTTTTATTACTCAACCTGTTTTATTGGGCAATATTTTAACAGGGATCAATTTTTTTTTCACTACATAAATTTTTTTACACTATTTAGTTTTATTTCTCTATTTGTTTAGTGGTAGGCCAATTGATTTTGGAAACTTAAATTTTAATCACCCTTTTTTACTGATCGATTTTCTCTTTTTTCTGCATTTTATAGATTAAATGTAAAATATTGAACATAAAAAAAATTCTTTTGATTTTCACGGTTTCAGTTAAATGAATTTTAAAATATTTTTTTTTTAACTTTCAAAATATTTTTGTTCATATGTGTCTAAATTTAAAATCGTGGGACTCCCACCTAAAAATAACCAAGAATACTACTGTATCTAAAAATTATTTTTTACTTTTTAAGGTATCTAACTAAAGCTGTGTAAATTATTTAGTGGATTTTACTAATTTTATATGAATGAGATAATACAGTAAAAATGTTTTAATAATTCTATTCACTATTAAAAATGAAACAAACCCAAAAATTCCTCCCCCCCCCAAAAAAAATTATATAAAATGTTTTAACTATATGTATATGATTTGGATGAGTTCTCCCGTTCTGTTTCAGGTGGCATACATTAGGATATAAATTATTATTTCTAATATTTTGTATGCCCTACTATAGCTTAGAATATTGTCTACCATTAAAAATTATAGCTAAAGGAATTAAATTTTGAAAAAAGATAAACAATGAAATAAACTGCTTCACTTTATGCTTTATGCACCTATTTATATAAAAATGGAATTTATGATTTGAATACGAACTAAAAATTGTCATCTATTAGTATATTAATCATACTTCTGTAGATGTAAATGCAGTTTATAATTATCAGGATAAGTATCCTAATGGTTTATACTAAGGTAACAAAATATGTATAAATCGATGTATAAAATGCTGGCATAACCAAACTACAGCTCTCTGATCCGTTAAATATGGCTTGGGTCTTAACAAACATGAGTTTTGAAATATTATTCCAAATGAAACAGAAATTGTTAAACGATATGCATTTTAATCAATTTTATTTTTTTAATCAATTCAATTTTATTTATTTATGTATAAAAATGTCATGTAACTTCAAACTGTGCATCATTCCTGCGACTTCTGTGGTACTGTTTTTAGAAGAGATTAAGGACTTTAAAGAACAAATACATTAGCAACAGGTAATGTTAATGATATAGTTAAAATGTTATTGAATAGCTGTACCACTGCATTTACTTGTAAACTGGCACTGGAAGAAGCAAAACATATCTGATGATCCAATCTGCATTTAATGAATTAACTGATAATGATATAGGGTGAGCAATTATCTCTGTATACTGGGCGGAATGTTAGTTGCATTCCAAAAATTAACTATTATTTGTTTGTGCAAAAACTCTACTAAATGCTGACAGCTTATTTCAAATAGATTTTGTATACTGAATAGAACTTCTTCCCAAACTGCTCTTTGCCCTCTTATTTGTTTTAGATTAAAGAAAAATCATTAGTTCTGTTTTTTTCAGGTCACTGTCTTCTTCATAAGAATGAAGAACTTTTCAAATTCTTGTCAAGAAATATCATTTCTTAATTTGCTATAATTAAAATTAAGGAAATCAATTTTATTTCTAGTTTTTCTGTCTGCTAAAAAGAATGCTCAAATACAATGTACAAAAATAAAAATTATTGCTTTATGTATCTCATTGTAGCTGTAAAGTAAATCTACTTGCGATTCTTTATTTTCCTGAATTCTAACATGTGGTTTCTATTCATACAAATTTGGCTATTTTTGGTATATAACTAGCCCATTTGCCGAGTTTATGAACCCTGGGCAAATGATACCAGTGTACAACAGTTCTATCCCACTATGATTGGTGCATTGTTAAATTGAAACAATTTAATTAACACTTTTTAAATAATAGCATAATTAGTTCATCTGTAAAAACTAATGAAGAAAAATTCTTTCACGTTTGAGAAATTTCGAAAAATATCATAATTTGTGTATTGAGAAATAAAAGTAACATAAATATGTACATAAAATGTGATGAAAGAATTTGTGGTATAGTGTGGCATATTTTCGGAAGGCACTCTCTCTCTCTCTCTTTTTTTTTTTTTTTTTTTTTTTTTTGCGCATGTGTGTGTGTCTGTTCGTGGTGATTTAATGGGCTAGCTGCATAGTACTTTTGCCATTTTTTTTTTAATATGTAATAAATACAGGCCATTTCTTGAAAACATGTTTTTAAGAAGAAATAAACATTAAAATGAACATTGAAATGATATTTTGTGAAGGGAAAAGTATATTTGATTCAGTTACCTTACTAAACCAAAGTACATGAAAGGCCATTCTGATAACTTTAAAATTTACACATAACTAAATACATTAATATAAAATATTATTTACACATCAAATCAAATAAAAATTATTAAAACACATTCTAAAAATTGATAATTGTTGATCATAGTAAAGGACAATAAGAAATCTTAAAACATGATTTAAAAAGAAAGAAACATCAAAATAAAAGTTTAAATGATATTTTATGAAAACAAGATATGTTTGATCAGTAACCTTATCCACAGTTATTAAAGAATCAAATTTTTAAAAAGCTGAATTCCGACAAAATGTATTATATACATTCTAAATATTTTAATTCAAAACAGTATCATATACATTCTAAATATTTTAATTCAAAACAGTATTTAGACATTAATTCGAATGGAAGTAATTGAAATACATCACTAAATTTTCATGTTTTTTGGTCCAGGGAGGGAATAATATTTTTGGATATTTTGGTTACATGTATTGGGAAATAACGTTATCTTTCTGTTTCAGCAGATTCCAAAATTATTCCTATTTACTTTCGCAATTTTTTTCCATCTTACTTTTCTGGTACTGGTTTTTTATTACTGCATGATGTTAGATGAAATAACATCCATTTGTCTACTTTCTTAAGACTAGGAATTAGCAGAAAAAAGTATTTTCACATGTAAAATTTGCTTTAATACTGGTCTTTTGTGTGACTCATCAATTACTTCTATTTGTTCTTTTTCATTCTTATTTTTTATTTCATTTATTTATTACCTTTTAATCCAATAGTCTTAAAAGTGCAAAAGGAATAAAAAGGAATTCCTTTTATTTCAAAATTCTTTTCAATACTTTGAATTCTTTCCTCTTTTTTTCGGTATTAGGTTTTTTTTCTTCTTTTATCTTATTACACACACACCATATATATATCTATCTATATATATATACATACAATACTTTTTATAATTTTATTGCTAAACATTTTTGTAACTCAGAGAATGTATCTTGTAAAGCTCATTTTCGTAATTTTTGGATTTTGAGAAAAGGGAAAACTATATTTCTTAAAAAAAAAGAAGGTCTATTTTCCTCTTCAACAATTACTCTTTCTCTCTTATTATTCTTCTCTTTTCTTACTAAGTCATTAACACTATGGGAAGGTTCCCCCCCCCCTCAAGGTTGGATCTGTGAATGATTAGGGTCATTGGAACCAGCAAAGAAACAAAGGATCAGCAGTCTCCAAAAAGCCTCAATCCCGAGTAAAATACCATCTAGTAAGTTTTATTTTAGCATAAAATAGTTTGCAAATCCAATTTAATTAATTTCGAGAAATTTTTCAGAAGTTTCAGTAAAAATTATTAGGCTCAATTTCATAATTAAACACTTAAATTAATGTATGAATTCTATTCAAACACAAAATATCTCCATGCTTCTTCTTTCCCCCTAAAAGACATATGCTTTGCATTCCCCTTTGAAATCTAGCCAACATGTAAAGATAGCTTGCCTGCTGGCCTTTGTAGCAATTAAGATTTTAGGATAGTAGAGTCACTCATAAATGTCAAACACTGAAGTATTTTGTACAATTCTCCTAATATTGGCAAAAAAATTGTGTGAAAGTGTAGGCAATTAAATAATGAAATCAAATAGTCAAATCACAACGTCAAAAATAAAAGCCTTTCTAAATTTATCATTATTCATGATATAAATTTGTAGATGAATTTTGTATAAAATATGATTTTTTCTTTATTCCTATTAATCTATATAAAAAATGATGGTACTCTTACATTATTGGGACCAGATTAAAAAAAAAATGTATGTATGTATATATGGATGAATGTGTTCATATATGCGTGCAAATTATATATATATATACATATGTATATGTTTACACATATATGCAAACAGACACATACACACATGCATACATACAATTCTGAATCCGGTCCCCATAGCAGAAGAATATCTAAATTGCTTTTCTGTTTTTAATTCACTAATCATTTTTTGAGTTAGAAATAAAAGCCTATTTTATTAGATCTTTTTTACTTTTTCATTTCTCAAACAACTCTAAAACAGAAATTAATTCGTTCATCTATTTCTCTTCATTTTCTACCTGCTAACAAATTTCTTGCTTTGTTAGAATCAGTGTTTGGGGTGAAAGTAAGACAAAAATCTTAGCTAGCTGTTCTTGAGTATCTTTTAATTCCAACAAAAACATGGGCAAATCCCTTCTCAAGGGTATATTTAAAATAACAATTTTCCGTAACGACCTATTAAAGAGCCTCCATAAAAGAACAAGATAATTTGGGTGAAACCATTAAAGGGTTAATATATGGGGTCGTAGGCCCACGATTATGGGGTCTAGGTGATATTTTTTGCAATCAATAAAAATGAAAGCTGATAATTATAATACCTCAATCCAAAAAGCATGTACATTTATGATGACACATAATCACATCAACAATTAAATATTACAAAAATATTAATACTTTTTTATTTTAAATGATTAAATATACATACCAATCAGCTGGTGCTCCAGGGATGCCAGATCTAGGGGCAGGAACAAGAACTGTATTTCTCTCTTCTGTCAAACATACCCACTGGTCAATCAAACTCTGCTCTCTTTCAACATCTTGATCAGTCTTATCTGAAAAGTTAGGCAAGTGTTTACAAGACTTCATATCATTACTGTGTTTAATTAGAAATTACTTCAGTGTGTACTTAAAAAATTTTATTCTACTGAAACAAATTATATACTGATATACTTTAATTTACAAGCTACAAGTAGCATTGAGAATAATGTTGCTCTTTTTTTAATGCAGAAACATGGTGAATTATAATTGTTCATCTTTACCTAATTTTCAGATTAAAAAATAAAAGTTAATATTCTCAATATTCAATTTAGATGTCAGTTATTTTGCACATATTTTAACAACTAACTCAGAAGTTCTTTTTAAATGTTAATCGTGATAAAATTAAATTTGTTTTGCTGTAGTAACTTGGCGTGCAGTCCTGACTGGGATATAAGCCACACGCTTGACATAATTCCAATTCATTAATTAACTAAATTTAAAAGTTTTAAAATGATTTTTCTGCAAATTTTACCTTTCTTATTAATGATTTTCTGAATCTGGCTATCAAGATACTCTCTTCTTTTCATCAGAGCTTCAGACCACTTTTCTCTCAATAGGGTTAAATCTTCTTCCTGATACGAATCTAATGGCTTTTGCAGTTTTGAGCGAGAACATATGCCTCCAATGGAAACACTTGTTATTGCTTCACATATGATAGGTAGTGTACCAGAATTATGGACAGGTTTCACTCTTACAACAACTCTACGTTGTTGGCCCTAGATTAAGACAAGAATAAGGAAATGTAATACATTGTAAAACATACCTTATAAAAATTTTGATCATTTATTAAAATACATGCATACAAATAATGGTATCAATGCTATTATGGCACTGAATTGCTAGACTAATGGGATCAGTAAGTTTTCAACAATGTATACACCTATTTTAGTTAGCTGTTGATTTAGAAAGCGTGATTTCTTTGGTGATAGATAAATAAAAAGATACTAATGGTCATAAGGAAATTGAGAAGTCACCAATTCTAGCAGATGTAATTCCATTGCTCACAAAAGGCATTAGATGCTTTGTAATTTGAGTAATTAACATTATGCTGCACTTGAACTATTTTCAGATTTGTAAATGCTGCAGCGTCTTTCTATGGATTTTCTCTGGCATCTGGCAGCACCTTCTACTATAATTTTGTGAGGGTATATATGGTTATATTTGAATTTTCACATTTTTTTCCCTCTTACAAATATCTAGATGTAAAATTTATAAATGACTTCTCCTTTTAAACAGTAAATTAAATAGATTTACCTGTCGCAACTGATAAACACCGCCTGTAGTAATATCAGGTCTTGGTATTACTTCAACTGCAGCATATTCTCCCAAATCATTCAGCTCTTGTATTTCAACCCACAACTCAATCTTCCGAATTAGCTCTGACCATCTGAAAAAATATTTTAAATAATGAAATAAAAGCGAAATATATCAATAATATAATTACAAATATGGTCATGTATGCTACAGTTTTAAAAATACATTAAATTTAAAATATTTAAATAGCTATTAAATAATAATAATACATTTAAGCAATTATTTAAAAAGCTTCTCAGACTATACAACTAACATATAACTATAATTACATTACACTATGATTAATAGTGATGTTAAGAAAGAGTCAATTCACTCAACTGCTTATTTAGAATTTAAATAGTAACAGAAAAAAAATTCAGTTAAAGGAATTAAATTTTCAGCATGGCTTAAAATGCTTAACAGGAGAAAAACATTTTATTACTAACTCAAAAGTACCCAATTTTATTTCCAAGGAATATTTTCATGAATTCTGAAACAGAATTTTAGCCTTATTTATGTTTAATGAAGGTGAAAAACAATTTCTTCCAATGTATCTATCCTAAAAGACTTTTATAAAGCAAAGCACTAGCGTATTTTCTTTTATTTCTAAATCTGAAACTAACATAGTACAAAGTCCGAAATCCGGACTCAACAGGACTTCGGCGGTTCCGGATTTAAGATTTTTCCGGATATTAGATCATCAGTTTAAATCTAGTAAGATGGCATGTAGAAATTATAAAATTAAAAATATGAAATCATGATTTATGAAATAAGGAAGTATTTAAGATCTACAGGGTATCAAAATTTACAAAAAAAGCTTAATATTTAGTTTACCTTATTAAACATTTCTTTCAATGTAAGTTGTTTGAGTTGCTTTGTTTATTTGTACTAATACTTTCTCTTTAATTCTGTAGACAGACATAGTCTCTTGTTCAGTTACATTGTTGAAGTCCTGTAACTGCTGTTTTGAGAATTCCGACTAACATGTCAATCGAAAGTTTCTCATTTTCAGTAACTTCTCTGTCACTTTCTTCACTATTGGTAGCGATATTTTCTGGATCTAGAACCATACTACAGATTTTGCCGTTCATTAATTTGATTGATGATTGAGAAGCATTGTCATCACAATGAAAAACTTCTTTTATATCATCTTCATTTATTACTGCTTCTCCATATTTCTTTACAAAATCTGATAATTGGAAAATTTCACCTTTGTTTTGTGATATCCAAAAATCTTTAAAATTAGTGGCTGTCATCATCAAATTTAGCTATCCTTCACTATACATATTTGGCTATGCATCAGGAGCTTGGCGACTGATGACAAATTGTTCCATTAAATTTTATCTTGCTTCTATCATGCACTGAGACAATTAAGCCTGAATTGTATTAGTTATTTATTATACTTATGTCTATTTCTTGCACATGCTTATAAGAATTCTCTTATAAGAATTCTGAATAAATTTCTTGGCTTATAAGAATTCTGAATAAATAAATTCTCACATATACTTAAGCCTTATTGAGGGCAGGCGTTAGATATCTTACTGCCTGATGTACTCTCTGTAGGTCCTAAAGTCTGCGACTCGGTGTGGCCATACAAGCTCTGGTGTTGGTTCTGTGTTTATGTGAATAACAAATCAGTTATTCTTAATTCAAATAGCCCTAAATGTAATCTTTGGTCTGTGAGTATCAGCAAAAAATCGATTTTTAGCATATGGAAAAATATTTTTGGTAAATTTTTTCCTCGTCAACATTTTTTAGCGCATTTAACTTAAATCTGTAATCACTGCCAAGCGTAATGTCAACATAAAAGGTTACCATAATCCTTTATTATTCAATTACTAACTTAAAAAAAAAAATTGTTTAGCATCGCTACTATGAGTCATTACTCAAGTTGTCATGTTTTGATAAACATGCGGTGATGAAAGGAAAGTATAATAAATAATAATTCACCAGATTGCCGTCAGTTCAACAATGTATTTATGTGGAATGTTCCGGTTTGAGATATGTAGCAATGGAGCCAAATTACTGATCCTACAAATTTATGCAAAAATGATTGTTTCTTCAATAACAAGGTATTTTATTTAGTTCCGAAGTGAAATTAAGAATCGGGACTCTCCAGATGTTTTATTATGTGCAGAGGGGGGGGGGAATTAAATGTGCATGCATAAAGCCTATGAGAAAAACGTTGGTGGTGGTTTTGAGGTCCGGATTTTGGACGTTGTACTGCATACGGAAAATAAATTAAAATTAACTTATGTATACAAAATTATATTCATTGTCTTTCTGTGACATTTATTTATTTACAAATTAAATTTATTTACAAATTATTTTATTTACAAATTAAAGAATAAAGCATCATAAATAGACTAATTTATATGATTAAGAGGAAGAAAATGTATTTTAGTTTTAAACAGTGAAATGAAACAGTGACAAACCAACTTATTACATATAGGATTGTACATAATATATATATATGAAGTACTAACTCATGTTTTTAAATATTAAATGATTCTATCAAAATTAATATAAATGTAACAAAATTATCCAAGAATTAAAAAAAACAGAACTCATACACACCGATCGGCTAAAGACCTAGATCGCATTAACTGGACATCCACATCCCATCCAGGTTTAGTACTACTAAACCCAGCACTACGATGACCCCATACTTCTATGGAAAGAGCACCTTCAGAGCAGTGTTCAACAAATTCTTCTGTCACATATACTACAAATTCCTATAAAATGAAACATAAAGTTTAGAATTTACTGCAAGCAAATAACAAATGCATTTCTCATTCAGTACTTGCAGATTATTAAAATCATTTTCGTTTCAAACTTATTTGAGTTTATTAGGTGGCCAAGCTTAATAGAAGGCCATTTGCGTATTGCAAACTGGGCTACCAGTTTTAAACTTTTTAAGTAAAATAATAACCAACAACTAATTCATTAATTAATCCTAAAATAGCAGTTAAAATTAATACTAGAATTAATCTATTTACACAATTTTGAAATAGACAAACAGACAAACGTGCACAGATTTTTAGTAGAGATTCTTAATTTTGTACAACTGCTGATAGCTTTTTTGGTCAGTGCCTTCTCAGTTGCAGAATTTTCCTTGGAATTTGCAGTGCTTTTCTAGATTTGATTGATAATGGCATGAGATATTTTTTTCCCTATATCACTTTCACTGACAGTTTTTATAGTTCTTTTAAAACATTTTATAGTCAGTTTTTATGCATGTCAATATTGTTGTGAACTGACTCCTAATTCTAAAGATAACTCTTCATTTCCTTCTGAAGTATTAGCTATAGTTTGCAATTTTTCTGAAGTTAAAAGCCATTATTCCAAAGTCGTCATTTTGCTGAAAATTTATTTCTTCCATAGCTTAATTAAGTAATCATTAAATGAAGCAAAAATCAACTTGCATAAGAGTACTTGCATCTTTATGAAAAAATACTGGATTACAATAAAGGTGCTTAGTTTGCATACTATAGCATTATGAACTGTAGATAAAGTCTTCTCTCTTTTCAAAAAGCAGTAAACTGGTTTAACCCCTTCGTGCCGACTGTCACGTATACATGCCAGCAATGAACATACTTATCTACCGGCCGACACGCAGGCGTGCCAGAGCATTGTTGCGTTTTCTACTGAATGTCATGTATTTGTGCCAGTACCTTGGAACGTTTTTCAAACTATAATTTCTGCCACAAGATGGCACTGTATGCCCATATGGTTTCAATTACATGTACATTAGACATTCTACTCGAAATGAGAGAAGCATGACTCACATACACGTGTTTTTGATTATATAAACAAACGGGGAACTAAATGTTTCCGAATGGCGCGATTTATGACGTCTCTTTAAATCGCACTTTATTCGCACGTGGTAGTTGTTTATTGTAAGTAGAAGTTTTATATGCGCTAAAGCGTTGAGTATTTCGGTTTACAGTTCAGTTTTTAGAAAATAATTAGATCTTGTTAGATGTGAATTTTTTCTGTTTTTACCGTTTCAATATCGAAGCGTCGAAAATGATTAACAGAGCATGAAATAGCAGAAATGATGCAAAATATTTCAGATATTGATTCTGAAATTCTGATATTCTGATACTGATTCTGAAAGATTAACTGAAAGACATTTTCCAAAACTTTGTTCAGAAGAGACTGGTAAGAAAATGAGACGACGGTGCTTCGTTTGTTCACATTCACGGAAAAATCCTCCAAAACGGCAAATGAGTTATTACGAGTTCAAGGAATGTAACGTAGGACTGTGTGTAGATCCCTGTTTTAAAATTTTTCATACGAAAAGAGAATTTTAAGTAATATATTTAGTTTTCAGATGTATAATGTTAAAAGTCATAAAATGGTGAGTAATTAAAATAAAATGTGTAAAATATGCATTTAAACAAGAAATAAGGTAATTAAAGTATATATATAAATAAAGCATAAGCCGTTTAAATACTCTATAGAGCATTATTAAACAATGCGTTGATACTTCGGAAATTTCATGGATTTAGGCTTAGTAGCAAAAAAGCCCCCAGCCCTGGAGAGAAGGGACTGCCGGCCTCTGCGATAAGCGCACATTTTCGCTACACGGCTCGAAGGGGTTAAAATAAAGCATCTTTATGAAGACATTCCTGATAAAGCCATGGTCCACAATACATTAAATGGATGAATTACAAAAATCTTTGACATATATGAGTAGGATATTTTGGCACTGAAAAACCAGTCTTTTGCTAACATGAGTTTAATAAGTAGTGGTGATGAGTTTAATAAAAAGCTGTTTTCTGTTAAGTAGTATGCATTTGTTTTGGTTCCTAGAAATTAGGACATAATAAGTGGATGTGTCTATTAACTAATGAGTTTAATAAGCGGTGAGGACTGTATATACTGATTTTTGAGCACACTATACCTAATATAACAATAATGTAATGTTCAATATAATTGTTAGAGATTAAAATCTATAGATTCTTTTACATAAATAATCAGAGACAAAAATATTGCTTCCTATAAAACATTTAACAGATAATATATCATCTATTAAAATTTCATTGTCAACCTAAAAACAAAACAAAGAAGTGAGAAAAAGAAAATAAAATCATAGCCATTTGGAATATAAACATAAAAAATCCAATAAAAATACCAACTTAAATTTTGTTCTAACTTGAAGATAATGATAATAACAATAATAAACTTTGAAGATGCATTTGAAATTAACCTTAATCTTAGTTAAAGCTGGTTAAAATACTAAAATCCTAAAATTTCTATTTGTATTTAAATATTACTTGTAAATCATAATCAAAAAGAAATCTTTAATAATAATCAATTCAGCACATTTTATCTCAGCAAAAATCTTCCTTACCTGCACATGCTCAAATTTAAATGTCATGCAGTCTTTCCCCTTTCGTGAGGCAGGATATTCTGGATTAACAATGGGCGGAACAACAACAGCATCTGGATGACCCCAAAAGACATATTGGCAAAACACAAAATTTGAAAGTGACGGAGGTAGACCAGTGGCAGATTTTATGGACAGCTAAAATATATAAATACAATATTGATTAATTATAATCATCACTTGAATGTTACATATAATAAGTTCTAATAAAAATTGGACATTTACTTGTATTTTTATTTGACGGCTTGCATTACTCTCATTCATATCATGAGAACTGTCTTTAATATCTGAGCTTCTGTCCAAGTCAGATTCACTATTCTCCAAGTTATCTAGAAAGCTTCCTTCTATGCGACAAATTTCAACATGTAGCCTCCCAGCAACCTAAAATACATTAAATTTTTATACCATAATTAAAAGAAAACTTCAGAAAAGCACAATTTTTATTTCAGCTTTTCTTTTTACTGTAATACATTATACAGAATTATAGCATTAAAATAACAACACAATAAAAGCTCTACTATCTGGGAAATTTGAGAAACGCTGAATTCCAGATATAGATAAATTCTAGACAGTTAAAAGTATACATATTGGAATTCAGGTTAGGAATGCCAAATGAATGGAAGAAATTTATGCTCTAATATTTTAAAAGCAGTAATCTTATTTGTTACCAACTTGAATACCAAAAGTATTCATTTACAATTATATAACATTTGAGGGTAAATAAAATTATTTCAGACATGAACATTGACATATTTTGTAAGCTTTAAAGATAAAAGTAAAACATCTTATTCAGTTAATGAAATCCCACCAAATATAAAAGATGGTAAAGATGATGTTAATTGGAGCCTTTCATTCCAGCCGAAGTTTAATGAAACAGTTTATTATTTATATAAACAAATACAATTTATAGATATAGCATATAAAAACTTAAATTGGTTATTGCAAATTTTCACAATGCTTCATCACTGTTTATCCATTTTTAAGTAGAGTTGCACATCATGCCTTTTTCTGCCAGGATCTGATAACTTAGAAACTATTGAACTGCCTACTGTCCCATGACAGGTTCGCCATAAATATTAATTATATTTTTCAAAATATGACGAAAAAAATTTAGAAAATTAGGCTGGCTTATTGAGAACTAACTGGGTTTGCATAAAATCAAGGCAAAATTCAAATGATTGCAATGTGACATAATGCTTAAAGATTTCTGTCGCTAAATCACTCTATTTGGCAACAGTGTATATGTGCTAATAATACAACAAGCTCTAATGGTTAAAAATCTCTCATTTCCTTAATTTTTAGCCCAAAGCGTGTTAGCCCAGAAGGGATATTAATTTCGCTTTGGCATTTTGCGTTGATTCACGGCGAATCACTTTTCAAACTGTCAGTACCAAATATTATCACCCTGTGTTATAATTAAAGAAGTTAAATAATGAAGAATATGCATAAATATATGCATGTTTCTCACACTGTGATAAAACAACAGTAATTAGAGCCATCAAATTTTGACTAATGTAATCTTCCACCAAATATGGGCATCTGGAAGCCCTAATTTGGAATTTGTTTTATTATCGATTTCATATTTTGTAACACTTTAACGAATTTTTGAATAACAAACTCAACGATTTCAAACCAATCAATGGCAACACTATATTGGGAAAAAAATACATTTATATCTCCAATGTGTTAGATTGTGTATTGGAAATTCTAAAGATATGCTCATTTTAAAATTATTTTGCGATATTGCTGTTGAATTGAATTTTATGGTTTAAGTGCAAAGAACATGATATGTAACAAATAAAGGTAACACAGAAAATGTTAAAAAAGTTCTTTTGGGCATAATGTAAAATCTGAAAACTTTAGATTTTTTTTCCTTTTTATACCCCCTAAAATTTTAATATATTCTGCTTAAGTGGATCTTCCATTTTAGTTGAACACCAGATAGTCGGGCTTTTACTGTATATAATATTTGAACTATGTTCTAACATTAATCAATTCCAAAACTTAAATGAATGTAAATCCAATAAAATTTAATAATTTATTTCATATACAAGTAAATTTTACTATTAATTTTGTTTATTTCAGTGGCAGGTTAGAAAAAACACAATACAATCAAGTATATTATAAATAATAAAATAAATATAAAGAATAAGAATATGAAACAAATATATTTTCAACAAAAAGAGAAAAATATCAAATAAAATACATGCAGTACAAAATGATTTTGATTAAAGGATTAAATTTTTTAAAAAAATCGTACTTCTCCTTGCTGACTTATAATAGGAACCTGGTAATCCAAAGTTACATCATGAAACAAGAAATCTAAAAATACATTGGCTACACCAATGAGATTGTGATTTTCTTGGGATTCATAAAAAGGATCCATAGCTTTAGGTGGCAGCCCTTCCTAAAATAGAAAACAATTATTATAATTTTAAACCAGTAAGGTATGAAATTTTAATTACATTAAGAAAGTTAATGCCACAGTTACTTAAAGAAAACTGATTTATTACACAAATTCTATATTATAAATGTTCACTAATACTGACTGTTATCTCTACATCTCTACCACTCGAAGAAATCTTTACAAGTTTACTTGCTCTTCCAGATTTATTTCCACAAATTTCTACCATTCTCAGCAACAAAAAATGGCAGCTATTCCTTACCAGCGTACTCTTCAATAATTTTATTCAATTTGACAATAACATCTATAAACAAGTACAGGGTATCCCTATGGACGGGAATTTTTCAACTTCAGTATGTGAATTATTCCTGTTTACTAAAGAATTGACCTATGTACGTTCACTCAGTACGGAAGAACGTCTCTTTTTCCAACACATCTATAGATATGTTGATGATGTCATTGCGTTTAATAACTACAACAAAATAGAAATAGCTAATATCTACCCTGCTTGCTTAAAACTAAATAAAACCAATACAGAACAGCATAATGTAGTCTACCTTTATTTACATATTATAGATTACCATTTCATTAAAGTTTACGACAAAAGAAGAGAATTTAATTTTTCCACACTTAAATTAACTAACTGGAATTCAAATATTTCCAAAAGAGTCATACTCAACACAATTTATTCACAGCTACTTAGAATAAAAAGAATTTGCAATACTGCGGAACACTTACAAGAAGAAATACTATACTTCGTAACTATTTTAAAAAGTAACCTAATACCTCATAAAAAAATTAAAAATTCCCTTACAAAAGCTGGCATTAGCCTTACCTATTTTTAGATTTTTTGAATTAGATAATGATTTTTATACCTAAAGCTACGGACGGTTTAAGAAGGATGACTAATTCAGAGAATCTATTGTAAAAATGTACAGATAATTCTTGTTTATTCATTCTCTTTCCTCCAAAAAATTTTGGCACTTTAATCTTAAATACTATTGTGTACATAGTTTTAAATTTCTATAATGGCCAATTTTACTGCTTTTATTAACAAATCGGGCTTTTTTCATTTTTCATAGTAGCTTGATCGCCCGCTAGCTTGAAGAATTACGACTTTTTTAACAATGACTGTTTTTTTTTCCTTTTTACTCTTGCTTTAATGGCCAAGTTTTTATAGTTTTAGCTGAATTGGCCATTTTCACTTCGAAAAAATTTTTTTTTCCATCCTACTACAAGCCAAGCGCCATTTTTTTGAGATCTTTACACGTTTTTCCGAGGTTTCCGGCCCCCTTCGATAATAGGAGACGAGTTGCAGATAACGAAAATCTCTTCGCATTGGCTAAATGCCCACAGAACTTCGCTCCCCCCTACATACGTCATCCGAATGAAAGACACAGAAAGAATTGCAGCCATTTTTCAACAAGTTTTAAGAGGGACAGCTTTGCATCGCCAAAGGTCAGTTTTTGTTTCTTTTGTTACAACTTTTTCTTGGTCTTAGCAAGACCCACTTAGTTTGTTCTCTTCTTAATTTTTGTTTTTATTTTATTAATTACAGGTTTTCATTACAGTTTTCTAAAATCTATTAATTTAAAAATTAAATTGTTAATCTTTAAGCTTGCAGGCCCAGCCCGTATGTTTTTGTATTTTTAGGACTAATAGCTCATCGCTATTTATTTTCGTTTTTTTTTGATTTTAATTTGATTTTAGTCTACATTTAGGAAGTTTAGGTATTGTTTAACATATTTTAACACCTTAATGTGTCATTCTGTGCGGACGCGTCGGGAAATTGGAACAGAGAATTGAGACTATTAAAATTTCCAAGACACTTTGTCTAAATTTTAAAAAAATTTTTAGCGAAAAAGTTTCAATTGTCTGTTTCGGCGAAACGCGTAATGGGGTTAGCTTGATTCGACGTTCAAATAAATGAAATTTCCCTTGAAAAGCCTGTTTGGAAGTCGAATTGGGCTAATTTACCATTTTCCGCTTACTTTTTAATCTGTTTCTGTTTTTTTTAATGTTTTACATGTCTAATGGTTTGATTTTCATATGTATTAATTTTTTAAAAACGTGTTGAAACCTTTTGGAGCAGCAGCTCTTGGTAACTTTTAGGCGAGCTTACTACAATTTTTATATTTTACTTATTTTGCAGCATATTGCGCAAGATGTTTCTAGACCAAAATTGGTTTTTTAAAAATTATAATTACTACTTTGCTTGATATATTATATATATATATCAGATGTATTTGATATACTGCTTTAGAAACAACTGCAGGGAACCATATTACTGAATTTTACCAATAATATATTTATTGAATTACACAATAATTTCAATAACCATTTCATGTATATTTTAGAATTAGTAAAATGTTTAGTCAATAATATAACAGGGAATATACAGATTTTTCCCCCTTGATTAAAATGTTTTCAGATTTTAATAATAATAAAAATAATAAACAGCATAAAGAAATAACAGAATACAGAAATAATAAAAGTATATTCTTATTTTAAATTGACCACATCCTTTACTTGGGGAAAAGAGAGTGAGAGGCACATACGTTAAAAAATTACACTGAAAATTTATTTGATCTTTAATAGCAGATATTTTTATTATAGTCAATCATACTTTTGTTTGTTTAATTACAGCAAAATATTCAAAAGCTTTCGGCTTAAGAGGAAAGATGCCTTTCTGGAGAGCTTTCTAAGGAAATAGGGGTTGTATTCAAGTTGCAAATAGAAAAAACAACAAAACTGCCTTTGCAGCCAGCTCATTTACCACAGTATGAACTTGGGTCAAATTACCTCTGTTCAGCTGCCTTAACCATTCATGGCCACTAGAGTGTTATTTATTATGTGCTAAGTGACATACATAAACATACATGACTGAAGATTTTTTATAATAAAAATTATACTGAATAATTAATTTTCCAAACTTTTTTTCAATAGTGAAATTTTTCAGTATATTTTTGTTTTGATATTAATATATCAGAACTAAAAATTGTATAAGTTAAGGAGTTTTTTACAGTAGATCTTTCCATCAAATTGAATTTATATAATTAATAAAATTCAGGGTTCTAACAAATTTTATAGTGATACACAAGAAATCCAGTATTTGAAGAGGAGGATTAAAAACCATAATATAGTTCAAAATAATATAATTTAAATACTTACTTTCATATTAAGACCTTTTTCTTTTCTTTCTTGATACATTTCTCGCATATCAATTAATTTGTTTTCCAGTTTTTCCATTGACCATACTTGTCCATTTTTGTTCCTTCGCTTCACAAGAACAGCAGGCTCACTAACAAAAGCTCCTTTCTAAAATATTTTAGAATATACTTTTAATGTATAAAATAAAAAAGTAATCAAATATTGCTGAACATTTATCCAAAATTCCTATTAAAAATGCTATTAATTTTTCTGAAAACATTTACAAAACTTAAACATGTTTTAATGGCAAGATGCTGTACTTTAATATATATTTTTTTAAACTGTTTATATTCAGATTTTAGCAATCACTTTTGATAAATCTAATTTGACAAGATCAAATTTAGTGTAGTCAAATTTAATTTGACAGTACCTTTCTGTTGGGGCTGAGATTTGCAGCAGGGATCTGAAGTGTCACTTTGAACTCCGTTTCCTTGCCCATTTCTTCAGCCAGAAAGTTCGCTTCTCTTACAAGACCATTAGCACGAACTATGTCCTCTCGTAATTTTGCAAGACTTTTCTTAAATAATTCATCTCTATAGTAGCAAACATATAAGATAATGTTAGATATACATAATAGATGTTCATAAATTTAAAAAAATTTATTTTGTAATATTATTTTGTAATATTTTGTAATTATTTTGTAATTTTTGAAAAAGCAGTTAATTTTGATAACAGAAAAACATTAAAATTTTTGTGCTTCACATTGATTTTTACAAATAGGGCGGTGGGGGGGACAAAGAAAAAAATTAATTTCAAATGTACAAGCTCCTATTTTCTGCTGGTAACATGATTAAGGGTTATTTGCAGCAATGGATGAATGTGAAATTCTGTATCAAAATTAGTAAATGAGCTATAGAATGTATGAATTATTACGGAAAGACTGTTTTATTCAATATTTAAATTTTTGATTAAACAGATTTAAAGGGCGAAAAGTAGATATTGAATACTAGCAAAACATATGGATTCCTATATGTCCAAGACAGACACTAAAAATGAATTGGTGAAATGTGAGGAAAAAAAAATATCAGCTCAGCATTTGGGCAATGCTTAAATTAATAAACACAGACAAAAATACATTTTGAAAATTTTAAATGATATTTTAAACACAATAAATAAAAAATGGTACTCAGAATCCTAATATCTGAACAAAAGGAAATTGGAATGAACATTTAGGCTCACATTCTTCAAAGTACTAAAAAAAAAAAAAAAAAAAAAAAAAAAAAAATCTGATGTGCACACCACATGATTTCCTTGTACAGAATATTAAATTATACGCATTTTTTCTTGCATTTTATTTAAACTTATTAGGTTGAATTAAACCTACTTCGCCGTCAGCGCATAAACCACAATAGAATAAATGCATTCTTTAAAATTCACTTTGTTTACCATAGCGACACTCTGGCGCTAGGTTTACTTAACAGTATTATATTTCATTCATATTATAACTCAGAATGCACAAAATGTATATCATTTAAAGAATTATCTAATCGTTGCCACATGTTCTATTCAAATACTATAATGAAGCTAGAACTATGTATAAAAGAAATTAAGCAAACAAAACAAAAAAGAAACAGTTTTCACAGACGATTGAGTATTTCTCATTTAATTAATTCAGTTCTTACTTCATGAGAAGGCAAAAATACATAAAAACTCAAAATATCTATATTAAAAATTACGAAGTAAATCTCAAACGCTTATTTCCTTGAAAAAATTCCAGAAAGAATTAAGCATGATTTAATTCACAATAATAAATGAATGCGTTATCTTTGTTGCTGCGAAGCTAAGTTTCTCTAGATTGGCAACAAATCCACTAGTCTCCTGTTTCAAATGTAAACATCAATGGCCGCCATTAAAACAGGCTTAGCGGCAATTAAACAACTTTAAAATTACTGATAATTCTAAAAATATTGCACACAGATTTACTAATGGCATAAAATCCTTAACCGGAAGATAAAAACAATATAATTCAATCATTTTTAAAGAAAAAAATATACAATTTACAAACATATAAGAGTAAAGAAACGGAGATCACTGAGCCGGCTAATAGAGTGGATATATATATATTTATATACGTTTGGTGCAGCCGATTGCAACCAAAATACGAGGTGCACATCTACATGTTATAGCAGTCCTATATACAAAATTTCAACATTCTGAGACTACTCGTTTTTGAGTTATGCGAGATACGTACGTACGTACATACGTTCGTACAGACGCCACGAAAAATTCTCTTCAGAATTAATTTTAAAGCAGTTTTATAATTTTTTTGAAGGAAAAGAGTATTTTATTCTGTCCTTACGTACAGATATCATGTAAAAACATCATTAAATTGCATTTGATAGCGGTCAAAATGGATATTTTCGTTGAAATATGCTGCCTGAAACTTTTCGCGATTACAATACTTCCTTTTTACTTTACAAGGAAGTAAAAAAAAGCATTGTAATCTGTGATAAATCACTTTTTTGTAATATGATTCTGAAATAATATGCCAAATAATGCAATAAAAATCTTTCTTCTTTGAGAAAGAACTAAGTGGTAAAGAAGGCACAACAATGCAAATGAATTTCAAAGAAATGATGATAATTTTTTTCAATATCTCAGCAACAATTCATACCGAATGAGTACCTGAAAAATAGATGATTAACTAAGTTTACTATAAAGAGTTTTTGACAACTTTTTATAAATAAGTGAGAAGAAAATGCCTAATTGTAGAAGAGCTCACAGGTTCTTCAACGTCATGACAAAGCATCTGCATAACATCCCTTCATAATACCCTTTCTGATTAAGCACAAGATTGCAAACTTAGAACAATCACTTTGCTCCCCATGACCTAACTACTTTTGATATTTTTTTGTTACTAAAAGTCAAATCTCTATTAAAAAGAAGTTCATCTTACTACAATGATGCAAAGAAAGAAAAAGGCACATAGGTCATGAACAAGCTTTCAGAAAAATAACCAGCAACTTTTCTTCCAGAAACAGCAGATTCTCATGCAATGGTGTAGGAAATAGGAAGATGGTTATATTAAAGAGGGCAATATTTCGACAACAAATTTTGTGAATAAAAAAATATCATAACCACAATATGTTATTTTTTAGTCACATCTCATTATCTTAAAAAAACATAACACAATCAATGACTTTTAGCTGCTTCAAGTATCTTTCTCACAGTTTACTCAGTATCTTTCAAAAATGAGTTGATAGACACATTTTTTCTCCAAATCCATTTTCAGTATCATCAGTAAACAAACTTTTTGTCCTTGAGAACAGCTTGAATTGCCATTACAACTGAATGAGTATTATCTCTAATGTAATTAATCGTTTCTGGAAAGTTAAATTTTTATCCAAGATAGTTTTCAGATAATAGATGATGGTATGCAAAATCATTTAAACTAGATTCATTAACATCAAAATCACATATTAGCATTATCATCATCATTATAAATAAACAGTTCAATAAAATGTCAAAGATTCAATAGAATGCCTACTCTTATACTTACATATGCAAATGAAGTTTAAAAATGCAATAAAACAGACAACTTGAAAAAGGGGTAGAATAAAAATTTAGTTTTTTAGAGACAGAATAAGTTTTGAAGCTTCATAATTACCTGTCTTGGGCCCAACGTTCCATTCGTGACTGAACATTACTTGTAGGTGTGCCAGCAGGTGTAAATTTTCCTAAACCTAATAAATCAAAAGGAGGATATGGACTGTATGGTGTGCCTGGAGACATTTGATTCCTAAGAATTTGTAACTGTCTCTCATACATTTGCCTTTGTTTGTCCAGAGCAACTAAAAGGAAATGAAACAAATTGAGAAATCAGATAAAATGAAACAAACTGAGAAATCAGATAAAAGTATAAGTCAATATATAAAGCCTTCTTAAGAAAAAAGAGAAAAAAAAGTTTACTTTGTTTATCTTCTTCATGCTGTTTTTCTAGAGCTGCCATAGCTGACTGTATTGGATCATTACTCAACTCATTCATCATCAGTTCTTCTCTAGCAAAATCATAATCAAGGGGTCGTTCAGGAATGTCAGGACTATTGCAATCTGCAAGAAAAAGTCAAATTAAAAAGCAATTCCTTTAAAAAAATATACAGACCACATAATAAAATTACAGTTTGTCAGAGTATATCTTTTGGAATCCAAACAAATGTTCTACATACAATACATACCAGAAAACACTGAATAATAATCACTAGATAAATTTTAAATCATATTAACTATAATAAGAAAAATCTACCAAAATAACAATACTACAGAGGATCTGCTAAAAATGTGAGAAAATATATCTGAAACTTTAAAAAAAGACACAAAGGGAAAAGTGCATACAGTAGAAAGTCTGAAATCTGGATTTTGAATATCCAGGTCACCAACAATTTTTTTGTTGGGAACTTTTTCCCCATTACAAAGTCTAGGAATGGAGAATGTAACACTCAAGTAAAAGCTGTGTGCTATAAAAGCAATTTTTTCCCTTATTAAATGAGGTTTTGCATGTCATTTTCAAATACCTGGCAGCTAAGGCATCATACCATGAACAGTGATATTACATTGATGCTATGATGATACTTTCAGCTTTTGAGTGATTGTGTGTCTGGAGAAGGGCATTTTTCTGTCTGACCTAAACAATAAGTGTGTCACAACACAATTTTGCGCGAACAATTTGCAATATTACCCATACTGGTTTTCTTTTGTTGATACAGTGGGGGAAGGGTCAAAGTAGATTCTGAGGAACTCAAGTTTGGTTAATATAGCAAACTGGGCTCTTCTTTAACTTTCTGATTTGAAGCAGCTTAATATTTTGTTCCACCTATTACTACTAAATACAGTTTTAGAAAGTGATAATGTCTCTTTTATTCTTTCCCTGAAAATGTACATCTGTCAATCACACAGCCAAAAGATATCAGAATTTTTTGTGCACTAAAATACAGATAAAAAGTAGCTTTTTAAAAAACAATGCAGCAGTATGACCAAGAAGAAAGTTAAAGAAATATTTTAATAAAAAACAATCTGATGGGTGGGGGCACAGCAAGATCATGAGTGAATGTGTTTTCAGATATTTCTTGAAATACTTGGCATAATTCATAGCCAGTTACCAGATTTCATGATGATAATGAAAACCATATACTGAAAGTTTTCAGGTATCAAAAGTAAAGACACAAATTTTCCAATTAATGGAATATGAGAAGAAATGTTAAATGAAGATGATATAAATTAAGTCTTACATTAGGATGGCAATGCTTCAATTATAATTCAATTAAAAGAATGCGAATATCAGTAGTATGGTTTTAAATCCAGAAAATATTGCTATTCAGCTTTGAGTCAGTACTTTTTTATTTTACGTAGTGGTGTTTAAAAAAAATTCCTGCATTACACAAAATACTTCTTTCTTAAAGAAACATTAATACAGAATATTTTTTATTTTATAACTTCTGCCTGCCATCTTATTAGATTTAAACTTTTTTTTTCTAATGGCTGGCACTTGCCTATGCCGGCATTGGCCACTCCTAAGGCCAATGAAGGGACAGACAATTTACATCCATGCTTTTTCTGGGATTCGAACCCGGGCCCTTCAGTTTCACAGTCAGGCTTCCCTAACCACTGTACCCATCTGGGCGGCAATTAGATTTAAACTGATGACCTAAATTTCGGATATTACTGAAATCCACCTGAAAAAATCTCAGTGATTCTGTATCTCAGATTTTGTACTATATAGAATTTAAAACATGATGTTCTACATAAAAAGATTTTTTTCTCCAAGAAGTGTGATTTTTAAAATTTTTTAAATGAGGCGTAAAAACTTTTTTTTAACCCCTTAACTGCCGCGGGCGTATATATACGCCTTGCTCAGCCGATGCGTTAACTGCCCCCCAGATGCGCAGCTGATGCGTTAACTTTGCGAATAATTTTAGGTGTAGCAGCGCAAAGCAAATGATAGCAGTTTGGAAGGACGTATATATACGCCTGGGGCAGTTAACGCATCGGCTGAGCAAGGCGTATATATACGCCCGCGGCAGTTAACCCTTTGCGACACGCATATTTAAAATATATTTTAATCTTTAAAAAAATGCCTTAGACTAAGTCAGATGGACTTACTTAAGTGCCTTTAAGGCTTGGAAAAAATTCTGCACTTTTATTTTTTACGGTGGAAGGTGGGATACCGTTTGTCCCACCATGCAACTAGCACATGTCTTATAGCGTATTGGTGTATAGCAGGGAAAAAAATTATATGTGGAATGAATAAACAAAATAAAGCGTGCATTCTAAAATATTCATAATAAACACACTAAAATGCATTTTGTACTTATTGCATATATGCATGACTTGTAAAATTTTGCATATGCACATTTTGCATGTAGTATATATTTAATATTTTTAAATTTTAGGAACAAAAGAAAATATTTTCTTGAATATTATTTTAAGATTAAAATTTGATACTCGTACATATGATACTAAATAAAATATTAAAATTGGCCCTTGATTCAAAAGCATTTATATATGACTAAAATTGAAAAAAGTAATTTTTCATGAAACTTTGAAACATGTTGTTTCATTCTTTTGTAAGCATAGAGGCACTTCACATGTTTCACACATGCAAAATGTTCGTCGTTCTTCTTTCCATATGCTGCAATATGCACATCTCCTGCTCGTTCTCTTTGGCGTTTTACTTACATTTTTTAGTGTCTTTTCTGGCTGTACGAACGGGTTTTTAGTTTTTATTTGAACTGCGGATTTCAGTTTTCTTTTCAGCTCTTTCTTGCCTCCAAGTGCCATTAGACCTTCTGTAACTGAGAGAAGAAAATCTTTCATTGTTTTTACATCATGATGACTTGAATAAATGTGTTTACTATACTCGCATCTAAAAAGTAAAAAAAAAATCATGTGCCACCATTTCTTGCTTTTGCGGTCTATTTCATATAGTCCTTTCAGTTGATCAATCAGTCGACATATCCCATATTCTTATTGTATAAAATAATGCTGTTTGGGCACAGTACTTTTTTTTTTTTTTTTTGTCTTTCCATCTCGTTCCTTTCTATTAATTTCTTTCAGTTGCCTTTTCCAAGCAAGACAGGATAGAAACGGATCTTTTATCCTTTCATTTTATGCAATAAATTGAATCATCGCTAACTGAAAAGTCTATATTCCTCTCGACATAAATTTGTCTTCTTTTAAATTTTTGGGTAGATACTTCCGATCCATATTTACAGTGCCACATGCATAGATGGGTCTGTGTCTTTAAAAAGCGAAACAAAATTATAACTACTTCCCTTTCTTCTTCAGCAATAATTTCAACCTCAGTTATTCTCTCCTGGATTTCAATTTCATCTGAATCAGAACTGACATCTGAAGCATTTGAGTTGCAATCGGATGGCAATTCAGCAAAAAGATCCAAAGCTTCCTGAGTTGTTAATTTTTTCCTAGACATTTTAGCACATCAGAGCATACAACGGATGTAAAAGCGCGCGCAATCACGAAAAAAGTAGGTGCAAAAAAGAAAAGAAAAAATAATCGTGAGTGCTGCCATCTATTGAGCGGAAATTCAAGTGTGTGGTGGGACAAATTTTAACCCACTTATATCAACTGCAAAATTAATGTTATAAAATATTGAATACAATTAAGATTTTTGAAAATAAAATACTTTTGAATATTAAAAAGAATCATACATATCATAAATTGTATACCAAAATTTTTAAAATATTAAAAAATGCGAGATACAGGGATATCACTCTTGTGATCCTATTTTGAATATTTTTTGCTTATAAACTTAAGCCCTGGTATAGTAGTAACATCTACTGAGAAAAATAATAACTAAAATAGATTATTTTTAAAAGATTAGAAAATTTCTAACGGGAATTGCTAACTGAGAAAATAAATATTAATTAGGTGGGACATATATTAACCCACCATGCCGCAAAGGGTTAAGGGGTTAAACATTAAATTCCTAATAATTCAGTTTTTCCATGTCTCAGATTAAACAATATGCACTTTTATTAAATTTTATCACTTCAATAATTATAAAAAACATGATGATATGCAGTCTAACATGAAAGGCTGCACATGTAAGGTATAATTTTCAATAGCATATTTTAGGGGAATAAAATCTTATAGGCTCTTTAGATATATGTATATATATTGGCATTGACAATTAACTCAGAATCATTTCTTTTGACAGAATCTTTCTCATCTACGGTCAAGTTAATATGAAATTAGGAGTACTACACAGTTTCCGAGAAAGTGCATAAAAATTGGCCAAACTATTATTGATTCCAGTGATGTTTAATTAATTGCGGCAAACCTAACACAATTCAAGAGTTCAATTAACACAATTCATGAGTTCAAATTCTTTTTGTCTGCAAATTTTTCGCAAGAAATAAATATCTATTTAAAGCATTTCTTTTCTTCCCCCACTTTTTTCAGCTTGCCATGGATTTCACAATTTGGGAATTATCGTTGGATGAAAAGTCTGCACTTAATTTATTTCAAACAAGAGGTGTCATCAGAAATAAACAATTGTGCTTGAAAGATCATTAAATGGAATTGATTTTTAAAATGAAATTCTGTAACAATGCCAGTGTTGCAGGAAAGGATCTTGCAATGAGAAAAAAGGATTGTGGGCTGAAGGTTCTAAAATCCCTTTTTTCACAATTGTGATGTTCAAATATTTCTGATGCCAGGTGATGACATGATTTGAATTTTGTGAATTACAACTTAACATGAAGCATAATATGACTGTTGATTGGAACAGTCATATGCCCAGCCAACAAGGAAAATCTGCAGAAGTAACAAAGTTTCAACATAAATGAAAGACTTTTCACCAGGAGAAAGAGAAATGTTGTGTGGGTTTTTTCAGAACAGTGGGTTTTCAGTGGATTGTGCAGAGAATCTAATGAATGCTTTTTAGTTGTAGTTTCTGGTCGATCAGCAAAAACGTTATTGGCTGTCATTATGGAAAATGTTATAGAAGGAACAATTATTTACACGGATTTTTTTAAGCCATAATAAATCAGATGAAGTATGAGATGCTGGCTTTGAACACTTCCCTGTGAAACAAAAATTTCACTTTGCTGATCCAGAAAGTGGATGTCAGACCTAAACCATAGAGCATCGGTGGGAAAATTCAAAATGGTACTGAGGCATGGCTCGAAAACACCTCAAATTATGTGCAGGAAATGTGAACACTATTAAAAAAAGACAAATCTTAATTTTAATATTATTACAGCACAGCACTGGAACAGACTTCAGCACAGAACTCTCCTAGTAATAAAAATTTATTGCCAGAACTACCGAGTTCAGTAACACGAAAAATTCAAAAGGAATAAATAACGGAAGGATGCATCTAAAGAAAGCAATAGTTACATCATTACCTTATGGAATTTTAATAGATTCTAAGATAAAATTCACATGGAAATTGTGAGAAAACGTAAGTTCTAACTGAAACTTTGCTCTTATAATAATTTGATTACAATGCTGAATTTTTCAAAGAAAATGAACATTTATTTTCATAGAGAAATTTTAACATAACAATCAGTTAGATGTAGAAAAGTGTAACACTGAATGAATTTAATCTTTTAATATAGATGTTTATACACATGAGCTGTTAGTTTCAATCTCTTCCTCAAAGTTTTGAGAAACTTTGAAATAGTTTTTTAAAACAAAATTCTTTCTCAAAATTTTGAGAAACTGCTATTATACGTACAGCAGAAAAGAGAATCAATCACTGATCAGGACTTTCTGATTTATGACTCTAAAAATGGATCCTTCCCTAAAGTAAATCCATGATGCTCAAAACTCAAATTCTTATGGTATTATGGCATGCATTTAAACTTTATATAGATTTATAAAAGTTTGTTTTTTATTAAGATATAAAGTTTGAGTGAGAAAATATCTCAGGTTCATTCTATATGGGAGAACTTCACAATCAATAAAAATCATATATATCATCATAATTAAAATACTTACTGCTAGTTTTGGGACAATTAACTCTAAAGAAATGATTATTTCCCCATAGAATTCGGTCTCCATGATGAAGCTGTATCCTCTTTGTGACAACAGATCCATTTACACATGTTCTAAAACAAAAGATTTATTTTCTGAGTGTTAATCATATTCATTTTCATTGTTTATGCAAATTTACAACTTAAAGAAATGTTTGAAAGTTTGGCAACTATAACTTTATTTCATTAATTAATTTAATTTTACCTTGCTCCATCTACTGGTATGAGAATCAGTTCTGAATTTTCTATAAGAATAGTACAATGCATAGGCATAATGCCCAAGCCACTTAATTGGATGTCTAAATCAGATGATGCACCGGGATAACCTACAACGGTTTTTTCCTATGAAAAAAAAAAAAAAAAACATATTTGTTAAAATGCTTTGTAATGCTTTGTAAAATTTTTTTTTTGATATATTAAAAAAATCTATAAATATATGGTAAAGAAACATACTTTTAGGTAATAGACTAGTAACTCGTTTAAAGATGGGTCAGCATTTAAGTTGACTAAATAATATTTATCTTGTTCTACTTTAATGCCAGAGGCCTGTACTGATATGCCCATTTTTTCAAGAGCCTGTTGACGCTCCTAAAAATCAATAAACAAAACTCATTAGTATATTACATAAGCAATAGATAAATGCAAAACATATAACACATTGGTAGTGTATAATAAACATAATAATAATGCATGATCTATTGCAGTGGATAGGAAAGAAATTATGATTGCAGGTAAAAATATAATAATAAAGATATCTGTTTATATTTGCTTGCAGGATAATTCTGTTATATCCTCCCAGGGAAGAACAGAATGTCAAAAACAGTATACAAATTAGTTCATTTATAACTGATACCTCATACAATACAAGTATGAAGAGCTGGTGATGGACAGATGGTTCCATGGAGGAATTCTAAAGGACAGATATTTGATCAATTGATAATTAGGTTTCAAGGGGAATAATCATAAAAATATATATCCCCAATTTACACTTTCCTAACTGGCAATTAAATCTGGGCCAAGTCTATCAGGGGTTATTAGTTTCCTGTTGGTAAAAACATATGAATATCTAAAGAATTTACATTTTCAAGAAGATTACATTATACCCTGATCAAGATAACATGTGGAAATTTCTACTCAAGTAACAGACATTAAACTGGTTTTATGAAATAGACTCCAGTTGCAGAAAAATCATTTAATAATATATATTAAAAAAATTTCTTTTATATACCTTTTCCTTAAAACCACCAATTTTAAGAAAAAGCTCACTGTAAAATACACAAATGCTCCAAATGCTCTAATATCTAATTGGAAGTATTTGATAATATTCAAAACTTTTGATAAGTTTTTAACTGAATGAAATGAGTAAAACTGCATCACAGTTGAAACAAATGTAATAAAAGCATCATGGTTAAAAACTACATAACATCCAATTCTTTTGTTAAATTATAATATTTGGAAGGTGATAAAACTTCGCTAGTTATATTAAAACATATATCACTAATATGCTCACATTCGACTCAGATTATAAGAATATATTTATTTGAAAAACCTCAAAAGTTCACCTGATGAATTTTTTCTGTTTTCCTGAGTTTTTCTTCCCATGTCTGAGATATTTCCTGCATGAGTTTCTCAGATTCACGCAAACGTTCTTGTAAGTCTTCTTGCTGTAAAGAAACAATAAAAGGCAACTTAAATTTAAAAAGGGCAACAAATTTTCAAATTTTGCAGAATTTAACAGAACTGAATATTACAATATTTTTCACTTAGCATACATTTTAATACACTAAATAAATAATTATTGTACAAGATAAATATGCACATGAAAAAGAAATATTATACAAAGTCTTTAATCCAGACTCGTTGGGACTTTGGCGATTCTAGATTAGGGGTTTCTCCAGATTATAGATCATCAATTTAAATCTGGTAAGATGGCATGCAGAAATGAAAAATAAGAAACCATAATTATGATCTAAAGGGTATCAAAATTTACAAAACAAAACAAAACAAAAAAAAAAACAAACCAAAAAAAAAAAAAAAAAAAAAAAGCAGCTTAATATTTATTTGTTTACTTTATTAAACATTTCTTTCAATGCAAGTTGTTTATGTTGCTTCGTTTTTTTGTGCTAATACTTTCTCTTTAATTCTATAAAAAGACATATTTTCTTGTTCAGTCCTGAATTGCTGTGTCGAGAATACCGACTAACCTGCGAATCGAAATTTTTTCGTTTTCAATAACCTCTTTGCCACTTTCTTCATTATCATAGATCCTTTGGCAGCTCCAGAATTGGAAACTCTTTTTGACATAATCGAAAGTTCAAGCTTACTTTTTATAAAATTGCTTTAACAGTCTGCAAAAACTAATAAGCCAAATCCAATTAGTAGATTAAGGAACAACACAATCTGCAACATTAACTGAAATAGATAATTAGATAATTTTAGCCTAGCTTATACCTTCCGTTATACATTAAACGCGTATAATACCTTTACACAAGTGCTGAAAGTTTGTAGCTTTGAGGTCCGGATTATAGATCATTCAGGATTATGGACGTCCGGATTAAAGACTTTGTACTGTAATATTTTACACACATAAAAGTTAATAAAAATGAATAGAAAAAGAACATAGTTATTAAAATGATTGACCTATTTAACCATAATGCTATTAACAGTATATTAATTTGATCTAGCTTTATAATATGTCTAAAATGTTTATGTAAAGGACAGGTCTTCAGAAAAATTTTCTTTCTGAAGGTGGACCCAATACAACTTAGGTGTTCACAACTGGTCTCATATATCATCAGAATTCATGTCATATTACTCATGGCATAAGATCTGATGATTAATTAATTAGTAATGTTATGTTCAAGGTATGTGGGAATTAATTAGTAATGTTATGTTCAAGGAATGTGGGAATTAATTAGCAATGTTATGTTCAAGGAATGTGGGAATTAATTAGTAATGTTATGCTCGAGGAATGTGGGAATTAATTAGTAATGTTATGCTTATGCCACCATTCTCTAAAAGTCCCTATACAGTCTCAAACCCATGATGTTACTACTACAGAGACAGTAATAAAAATATGGTATTGTGACCTAAAGCAAATATGGTATGAATTTAATTTTTGTTTCAATTCTGCAGATTAACTAAAAGATGTTATATATAATACTAGAATAATATATTCTGTAGGTTAACTAAAGATTTATCTGCAAAGTCACGACACCCAATGCAAAGTATCAACCATATCGGAAGAAAATATCCCTTTCCTTTTCCCTATCTTATCTTAGTTAACATCTGGGCTAGCAACACTTCAAAAGTTTTTCTTTCCCTTTATTTCAGACTTCATTTTTAAAATTAAAGCAATCTGAAATAGATTCATTCATTTTGAACAATTTGGTGTACATCCTCACAACAGCAATCAAGAGCTTAAAATAATTAGTATCATCACAGAAAGCAAATGCATTAAATTTTGAATTCCAGTTCCAAATTTAATACTTTAACTAAATTTACTAAAAATGTATATTTCTATTTCAAGAAAATCATGCAGTTCTTTTTCAGACTTCCCATGTAACAATTATTTTTAAAAATTAAACTTCACACACACACACAACACACAAAAAAAAAAAAAAAAAAAAAAAAAAAAAAAAAAAAGAGAGAGAGAGAGAGACATTAAGAATTTTAGCTATCATAATTTAGTTTTATCAATATCAAAAATTAAAATTTAACAGTAAACTTACTGTGGTACTTTTGAGCTGTTCTTTGAGCATTTCCACTTCTTCCCTGAGATCTCGGATAATCCTGGCATTTGGATCTTCATTTACAACAGCATGATTAACTATTCGTTTAGCCCTGTCAGCATAACGTAATGTTGAAAGTGTTTCATCATAATTGTCAGCTGCAGGACTAATAGTAGCTACCATGACGGTTCGGCTGTTGCCACCAAGATTGTCCTATGGAAAAATATAAGAAAAGGAAAAAGAAAGAATATTAATAAATTAGAAGAAATTTTTTTATACTTAGCACAATTTGTGTCAGAAAGGTAAAAATCTAATGTTTAACATTCAAAAGAATTTAAATATTGGTACAAGTCCATAAAATAAGGCGAAAAGTGCAACATGCAACCCCTAATATTACAAACGTTGAAGGTATAAATAAATGGTCTCTAAAAGTTCTCTATGAAGGATATGATGCCTTTTTAAACAAAATTTCACACAAAAAATTATTCATCTGTACAATGAATCTGTCTGAAGCAGAATTAAATATATTTCCAATAATTAAGGCTATTAAAACACATTTCTAATTTGTAGTTGATGATGACTTAAAGAACAACAAAAAGGAAAAAAAGAGACGAGGATATGGTTAACTTAAATAGCTCAATATAAGCATTATTGTAATTTACTTGACTTCAATTTTAGGCATATATGCATACAAAAATGATCAAGAAAGTAATCTGAGGTTGTCATAGATTATGCAGTCCATCCACAACCCCCCAATTTTACATCAGCATGTGTCTTTTTTTATGCTTGTACCTATAAATATTTTCAGGGTAAAATTAATTCAAAACAAATTTTAGCAAGACATTATCATTCATCCACATTCACATTAAATTGCTAAAGATAACTAAGGAGAAAAAGGTTAAAATCCTCGTGATACAAAAATATTTTACACACGATTCATTAAATACATTATGCATATTTTTTTTCTTATTTACGACTGCACATTTTTATATGATATTACAAAGCATAAATGCATAGCAGAATGTTTAAAATCTTTGCTCTCTAAAAATATTACAGGTTATTTTTAATAGCATCTCCTATAAATTACACTAACAATAAAATTCTTTCATCAAAATTAAAATTCAGCATTGAATTTATTGTTTTAAAATTTTCATTACCTTTAACAACCAGGTAAGTACGGAATCTCTGTATGCAACAAATTTGTCTTTTGTTTTCCCACAAGACTGGTCAGCTAGTTTTGATATAACCAAACCTAGTGTTGTTAATGACCTAAAGATGGGGAAAAAAGAACAATCTAATAATGTTTCTTATTACATGATCCATATACATAAAGAGGAAAAATGCATCCTTTTCCTTTTTTAGAGAGATGTTGAAAATAATCATCCTAATATTAAAATAGGTATATGGGATATATAAGTCATCATGAATCATATAAAACAAATTTAACTACACAACAGAATAAATATTGGAAGAAAAAAAGAGAACACAAAAAGGAATTTCAAGAACAAATACTTGTTAATGTTTGAGCCTTCTTTAAGTCTCTCGCCAACTGCACCAGTCTTAACAGCTCTTTCACTACCAGCTAAGTCAACTAAACTCATCTTAGATACCTTTTCTCCAGTAACCTTGAAATAAAGCATAATTATTAAAATAATATTCTGTACTTTTATTACTGCCCAATAAGCAAGTAAAACTCTAATGGAAATAAGAAAAAGATTAAAATGCACTGATAAAATTTTATAAAACGAATCCCAATCCAATTAAAATATCATACATCAAGTGTTAAATCTGAAAAAATAATATGAAATTATATTAAACTAATTGAAGATAAAAATCGAAAAAATATTAAAGTAGTAGCTAAAATATAATATTAGTCTTAAAAGTTACATAATTTTTATAAAAAAAAAAATTCATGATGATCAAAGGATTTGATGATGATTCAAATTTTGTTTACCATTACTAACGTAAATTAACAATAAATTTATTTTAAAATGTAAAAGCTGTATTAGTTAAATCAATACATTTTAATAAATTTCTAAAATTATCAAAACATATGGACATTAAATACATTTAAAGTAAAATGCATATGAAAAATAAAAATTTTATATCATAATGGTAACATAAAAAGAGTCAAAAATTAGTCTGCTTCAAAATCGGAATAATTTCTTCCCAATCAACTATTAACATACAAAGACTTCAATCCTTCAGTTTTCGACTAGATCTAGTTATTTTTATTTTATTTATCCGCTCTAACTTATCTTAACTTTTTTTTTTTTTTTTTTTCCCCCATTTGCTATGAACAAAATGGAAGATTCTATAATAACTAGATAACTAGAGCAATTCTTTGGTCCCTAAAGAGAAGTTGGCATTCACATGCTAATTTTTAAAAAAAAAAGAAATCTAAAATGAAGATTTGCAAAAGTGTAGAATAACAAAGTGTACTCTTGTTGACCAGAGTTACTTCTTCTTCCTAAAGAAATTTCAGGCATCATGCAAGCATAAAAAATTGGTCTCTCTTTAAATAAATTACAATTTTAAATTCCTAGAGAAATGCAAATGATGAATTAGCATTTATTAAAAATAGTATTTAATTAAAAAATCTATGGCTCTGAAATAATAAAAATATTTAAAATTTGTAAGTAAAGGCTATAAAAGCATAGGATAAAATACAATTTAACTTCATCTCTTAAGCAAAATACTTACTCCTGATAAATCATCTGATACAGTACATGTAAGAGTAATGGTAAAAACTGCATGTGACCTGCTGGATTCACTGTTCATATTTGTTGCAGCAACAGTTCGAGATTTATTACCTTCAGTCATGAGGTTATTTATTTCCTGTGAAGAGGGAAAAATTATAGTAACAATTAAGCATTAATTTAAGTATTTGACAAAATTGTTATTATTCAGAGCAGATGCTTAAAAATTAACAGATTACTGTCATCATTCATTAAAAATAAAAAGAACAGAAAAAGTAGAATCCAAATCTTACAAAACAAACATAAAAAAAAACTTCATAAAATAAAAAATTTTCAAATTAAATATACCTCATATGAAGATACTGCAAGTGTTGATAGACCATCAACATATGGTCCTAAAATGTTATGTTCTCTAACTTTTAATGTTTGCTTGCATCTAAAAAAATAATTCAGTTCACTAACTAAGAATCATCAGACAAATAATTAACATTAAAAACATTTACTGTAATTACTTTACAACACTTAAGCTTTTCGTCATGTTTAATGTGTTGAAGAGAAAAGTAGAAGAAGATGTCTAAGAAATTGATCTTTAATCAGCTTTAATTGATGGCAAAGCTTTTCAAAAGTAAGTAGCATTTATTACAAATGAATATGATTCTACAAATATCTATAAAATTCCTCATCACATTACACACATACAATCAATAAATTATTTTTCATAGCAACACTGTTACCCTAGTTTACAGACACAGATGATGTATTACTTTAGTAGATTCTACCTCAAGCAAAACAGCTAGAAAAAGTTATTGGCTGAAAAATGAAGAACATAATATTCCTTCATATGGAAGAAAAGCAACCATATGTCCTCCCAGCAGAGAGAGAGCTACTGAGTGGCTGACTATTTAAATAATTTCATACATTAAAGGTTTTTCAGTAATTATAGCTGGACCTTTTTCTTAAAAGCATCAAATACAATTCTATGGGCAGAAATTTTACAAATATTAGAACTTTTGCAACAGCAAGAACATTAATATTTCTGAAATAATATATAACAGATAAACTGCACATAATTAAAATTTTCAAAAATGTTCTCTTAATTTAAAAAAATTAATTAATCAATTAATTTAATAACAATTCATGCCATATTTAATAAAAATATATCTATTTTGATACAGACAAACTAAACAGACAAAAATAATTATGAGAATTTTTGAACCAACATTAACTTTCATTTCCTTTATTTAGATTAAATATATGTAGCATAATAAAACTAAAACATAAAATAAAAAATGGGAAAAATTATTACAGTTTTGGCATATAAAAGCTTCTTACAATCTTTTAATGAAACTGATAAATCAATGGAAACATTTCATACTCACCCTTTAGGATCAAGCAAATCGTGCACTTTCTCATTATAAATCTCCATGTAAGAGACTTCAACTTTATAATCTGACTGCCGCCCTGATGCATTAATGCGTTCAAACAGAGCATCACAAAGCCTAGGAATCAATCCTTTATTGTCCTCAGATCCCATCATCGTAAATGATTTCCCCGATCCTGAAAAATAGGAATACTCTTACAGCTGTAGAACAACAACTAAAGATTCTAAAAAGTAAACAAACATCAGTCAAAAATTAAAATTAAAAAAAGAATTGCGTATACAAGAAAAATTCTTAGTTCAAAACCTTCTTGAAAACTGAAAAGAATATTTGATAAGGTGGGAGGGGAAATTGGCACTTAAAAAACGTGAAAAATTTATTTAATATAAAAATAATATGAAATATATAATGAAAAAACATATTCATGTAGCAGTACAGAAACAGAATGTCACAAAAAAGTTCAGTATATTACTTTATACAGAGGCTGTTCGCACATTTTTTAGAAGATTTTGGTATGCGGTAATAAAAAATCGTTTGCTGCAAAAAGTAGTAATTGTAATTGTACTATGTTTTTAAAAGTCAAAATTATCGTCTGTGGCTTGAAAGTTTTGTTTTTATTCAAAATGGCGAATTTAACAAAGCAGTGGTTCGAAGGCTACATTTACTCTCTTTCCGAAGAGAAATATGCATACTCCGTTATCCAAAAATGTCATGGAGTCATGGTTTTGTTATATCTAAAGCATCGATAGGTAATATCATCAACAAGAAAGGGAAAAAACGTCAAATTGGAGCCTAAAGTGGGACAAAAATTCTAAACAAGTATCCAAGGAAAAAACGGCCATCTTCGACTATTGTAAAGGTACGTTGTTTAATGTTAAAAGAAAATCCCCCTAGTCAAAGGACAGTTGCAAAATCATTAAAATGCTCGGTGTCCACTGTAAACAAAATGATAAACGTTAATTTAAATCTTAAGACAGCAAAAAAACGCAATGTGCATCGTCTTCTTCCAAAGCATATCACTCAACACAGGACACGCTGCAGAATTCTATATGAAAAACACTTAGCCAAAGAAAAATGGAAAGCAATTGTCACAATAGATGAAGCATGAGTGTACTTAAATGATTGCAACAAAAAAAAGAGTCATTTACGAGTATTATCATTAAAGGGTAGAAAAAAATTTAAGTACATGGTTCAAAAAATCGAAAGAAAGTTTTTCTAAGGGATTCATGATTGTTGCTAATTTTTCTTATAATGGCAAGTTAAAAATAAAGAGAGTGCAAAAAAATGTTAACTCCAAATACTATCAGGAACATATTTTATCGCCAATTTTTCTGAATGAAATACCATCGCTTTACCCACAGTGCCATCAATCTGTGAGTATCAGGACAAAGCTGGCAGTCACACATCAAAATCCACTGTAAACTTCCTAAAAGAAATGGAACAAAAAACCGGTATCAAGGCCATACCCTTCACTGATATCCCTACTAAATCTCCCAATGTGTCATCTATGGATTTTTGTGCTTTCGGACTTTTAAAAACTGCATTATCCAAACGTTGTCCCAAAACCCTAACAGGACTCTGGAAAGCTGTTCGGGAAGAATGGGATAGAATACCTCTACTGCCACTTCAAAAGGCATTATTATCCTGGAAATTGTGGTGTCGAAAGATAGTTCAGAATAAGGGATGTCAAATAGAACATTTAAAACACAAGAATTTTATATAATTTAGTTTTGTGAATACAATATACATCGTCTAAAAAATGTGTGAACAGCCTCTGTATAAGATATTCATAATTTCATAATACATTTAAAAAATTCATATCAAATGCCAAATTGTATTACACAAAAATAAATGCATTAGTTTTTTGTGTGCTATATTTCATAAATATTCAGTGCATCCAGCATCCATTTTGCTGAGACAACAGACATCTGTATGGTGATACATTTTAAATCACCATACTGCAGATGTGCTTTGATCAACTAAAACCATCACATTGGTGATATGGGGTTACAAAAACGATTTCTGAAATCAGTGGAGAACAGAAGTACAAAGACAGTATCACCGACAAGAAAAGTGATACAGTATTTTTAAAATCCAGACTAGCCACAACATTGAAGTGTCACCTCCTTGATCTATATATCTTGCCAAACCTTTGTGGCAAACTTTCACTGAAATATTCTCAATGATTTCTGTGCATTTTTGATGAGTAATAATCTCTATAGTAGTGAGCACTACCACACTGAAAGAGATAGTCTTAATTATTTCATTCAACACCAGTAATGGCTAACTTTGCAATATGTCCAAATAAATCCTTCCAACAACATGATAATAAAATGACTTCCAATAACAATAAAAACTGAACAGAGAAAAATATGCGATTAAATAATTCACAATAATATATGGCTTATACAAAAAGGTGTTCCAAAATTGTGGCTATGTACCTTGTCTCCCATAAATACTGATTTTATACAAGTACTTGCAGTTATTCTCTAATCAAAAACTTTTTAAAATAGAGCAGAGATTTACCAGAAAAATTTCTGCACTGGCAGTAAGATAGCTTTGAAAACATTAACTTTTTAGTATGGTCTTTGGAAAGCAGTGATCAAACTAGCAAATATTCATCATGCTATAATAAATCAAAAACAAGAATTGCCATACTTTTCTCTAAACACACTTTTTTCTAGTTGTTCTTCACTGTACCTCTAAAATTATATAAATAATAAAAATAAAAATGCTAATGCTTAGTAAACAGATAGATAATTTCTCAATAAAGATCCTACCCTCCTTTTTTTGAGGGGGGGGGAAGGGTACAACTTGAATATCTGAATATTTTGTGTCACCCTGAAATTAAGGAATTTACATTTGCAAACTATATAAACATTTTACTATGTTATACCGATTATTTTATTTCACTGAACAACAAATGTCGTAATATTATGATGAGAAACTTTTTTTTTAGCAATTTTCCTTTATTTGAATAAAAATTTACATAGACAAAAAATTTATAAAAATAAACATTACTGGAATTAAAAAAGTAAAGAAATGAACTGCATTCTTCGTATATATTTTTGTACGACGCAAATTTCTTTCTAATAGCAGTCATTTGAATATATAATAGCAGAAACTCTTTTTTATCATCATATCCAGCTTCTAATCTATCTTTGTTTGCCATAAATTATCAGCAATGCCACACTTACATAAACTTAAGGACAATTTCACAAAACAATAAAGTCAGAAAATTACCTGTCTGCCCATACGCAAGAATGCACGCATTATACCCTTGAAAAGCGTTATCCAATATATCTGCTCCAAGGCTGTTGAAAACAGTTTCTTGGCTGGCATAATGTGGATGATTTTCATTGAAAGACCAAAAACACTGATCAAAAGCAAAACTCTAAGGAAGTAAAAAACAACTTTTAGTATAATAAAAATTTCAAAAATTATTACATGAATACTAAAAAGAAAATTCACTAAAAGTATAAAGGATTATGTCGATAATTTACTTTTAAATTAAATTATGCCAAACTATACAACCAAATTTAGGCAGTTGCATCTGCAAATTTTTTGTGACACAATTTCTACCACTATGCTACTTCGGAAGAAAATCGGCATAACTCAAACATTTGTGAATGTTCGCTTATGTCATAATCTAATCAAAACGAAAATGTGGTATATTTTAATACAAAAGGGTGGTGACACCCTTCATCAGTTAAACTTTCACTTTGGTTAAATCTTCTAAACTAGTGGTTTTCGAGTTGTTCCGCTTTTCTTCCAAAGTAGCAATACATTATACACTGGTGTGCAAAAATTAAGGACGAGACGGTTTTTTCAATATAACTTTGTACAAAAGCTTTCCAAATCAACACATTTAATACCGTAAGATCCCCAATACGTAAGGACATGAGTAATGTAAGCAACACTTACTAAAAGAGAAATCAAAGGGATAAAAAGAAGCTTTATTGAAAAAGTAGCATGGAGCGCAATGCGACTGAAGGCCGAAACATCCCTGTGATGGGTGTCCAGCAAGAAACATCCGGTCTTTAATAGGGAATATGATCTCCCCTGACTGCTAGGCAGGTTTCACAGCGTCTGCTCATGCTGACAATGAGTTGTTGAGGCGTTGCTGCCCATTCATCTTGCAGCGCCAATCGAAGCTCCGGAATCGTTACTGGTGGTAAGGTACGAGCTGCCAAGCGTCTGCCTAGAAAATCCCATACATGCTCGATGGGATTGAGATCCGGAGATCGTGCCGGCCAATCCATACGTTCAATATCCTCACTCTCTAAGAGCTGTTCGGCAGCTACTGTGCGATGACATGGTGCATTGTCATCCATGAAAAGGAACTGCGGACCCATAGCGCCTCTAAAAAGACGCACATATGGAAGAAGAATCTCGTTACAATAATGGGTCCCGTTGACTGAACCTGCGTCGAAGATGTGAAGGTCTGTACGAGTACCAAGCATGATGCCTCCCCAAATGAGAACACCGCCACCTCCATACCTGTCCCTTTCAATGATGTTCGAGGGATGATTGCGGCTTCCCCGCTCTCTCCAGATGAGTATGCGATGAGAATCGCTACTCAGACTGAATCTGCTCTCATCTGTAAAGAGTACTCGTTCCCATTCATTGTCTCCCCAATTCCGGTGTTCCCGGCACCACAGAGAACGCCTTCTCCGATGGGCAGGCGTTAGAGGTACACACAGTACAGGCTGTCGTGCAAACAGACCACCACCGTGCAGTCTTCTGGCCAAGGTAAAACGCGATATCGGTCGTCCAGTCGCCTGTGTCGTGTGTCTAGCGATTTCTCCCGCTGTCTGCCGCCTGTTTCTTCTGGCCTGTAAGGCAATATACCGGTCATCTGCGGGTGTGGTTCCTCGTGGACGACCACTATTAAACCCCCGGATTGCTGTTCCTGTAGTTTGAAATTTTCTCCGAAGTCGTGAAACGATGCTGTGAGCAATTCCGAACTCTGCAGCCACACTTGTCACACTGCGGCCTTCCTCCAACTTCCCAATGATTCGACCTCGGGTAAAGCATTCAGATGTCGTCTAACAGATTGATTATTCGCCATTTCTCGCTGAGGCAGCAACTCGGTGTGATTTTAACTGCTATACGGTGTGCAATCTCTTTGCCAGAAATACTGATCTTAGACCGACAACATGCTTTATACTACTCAGACACTCCCCCATTACGTCTACCTGCATATCTGCGCATGTGCTACCGTACATCACCTTACTTAATCTCCTGATTGGTCTTTCTGTCCGCTCTGCCTCTTCGTTCAGCTGATATGCTAATTTTTCGACTTCGTCCTTAATTTTTGCACACAAGTGTATTTAAAGTTGCACATGCTAGCATCTGCTTACATAAGAGTCAATACTTGTTAAACTCTTAATACTACGACATGGGGGAAACTTTTTCTTTTATTATTCTAAATATTATTTTCTCCGGCGGTCGCGGAGAGGTTGATTGGATTGGATTGGAGGACGACCCAATTCCCCTTGTCAATGAAGACCTTATGACCAATATAAGTCACCTCGATCATACAAGCTTGTTACTGATTGGCTGAAGGTTCACGAATTATTATTTTTTTTTTTCACTATGGAAGGCAGTTACTATTTTTGTTAAATTAACATTTTGCACTAAATTTACCTCTTTGCGGAACCCTCTTTTTGGTGACAAAGATAATTCTTTGACGATGTGGGGATAAAGGCTACATGCCTAAGAGCCCCGTAATAGAACCATTCCTTGGTCCTTGGACGAATTATTCGTTGAAAACTGCACTAATGAATTCGAGGCAGAGAAGAAAGTTAAATCAATCTACGTTAGCGTCAAGACTGTGGAGAAATATAGGAAGATGACAAAAATTCTACAGGAACGAATTATACCGCACCATTTATTCCAGCTGCAAAGCAAGAAGCCACTAAAAGGTGGTGATAAAGAATTTACCTAACTCCATTATTGAAGAGGCTATACTGGAAGATCTTCAAAGAAGGAAGTTCCCAGCAACCAAAGTAAAGCAGTTTCGTAGAAGTCAGAAAAATGAATTTAAAAAGCTGCCAATCTACTATGTTGAACTTGAAAAGACGTCTGAGGGACTTGCAATTCACCAGGTGAATAACATGTTCGGACTGAATATCAGGATAGAGAAATTCCCACCGAAGAAGCGACCACTGCAATGTTACCGGTGCCAAGTGTATGGTCACTCTCAGCACCTTTGCTCCAACCCTGAGAGATGCTGTAAATGTGGACAGACCCACAGGAGTAAGCTATGTACATTGAAAGATGAGGAGAAGCCAACATGCATCTTTTGCAATCAAGCTCATGTAAGTTCCTTTCATGGTTGTGAGGCTTACAAGAAACGCTTCGAGAAGAAAAAGATCCCACCTAGACCCAAGGAGCCAATACCGACGGCAGCGGACTTTTCCAAACTCATTAAAGAAGAAAATATGCATATAAGGAGAGCGACGGGAATCACCTACAGTGAAAAAGTTAAAGGGAAGATTCAACCCCCACCTGATGAACTAGCAGAGGTAGTTTCATGGCTGCAGAATAAGAAGATTAAAAAATTTTTAAGTACCATCATAGGAAGTATAGAAAAAATTAGAGCAGCTAGCAACACCGCAGCGAAGTTTGCAGCAGGTTTCCAGGCCGCCCTAAGCCTGATGGAATTTGCTGAGTCTGAAGATTAGACTTGTTAGGACTTTCACAGCTCGAGGGGCGGGCGAAGAGGACTCACCAGATACTTCCCCCTTTTAAATTCATCACTTTCAACTTTGTACTTTAATGTACACGTTCCAGCTTCGCCTTTTATGGCGCGGCGTTATCGCCTTAATTTTCTAATTACCCCCAACGCCTCAGAGCAATTTCTCAACCGAGGCTGTTAAAGTTGCTAGTTCAACTAAATGTTGCCTACTCACTCAACTTTACTTATAAGCTCGTTAATAAATAAGAAACATGGCCGCGGAGCGGTAGTAAATTATTGACCGCAGCAAGTCAAATGCTTTTGGTGTTTTAGTGGAGGTTTGGTGGCGACATCTATGAGTCAAATGAGAAGTGCGATGCGAAAGTCTCGCGTGGCCTTGAAGGACAGAACTTGGGTCCATTTCATGGGAGTGAAATGCTTTACCTCGTCACGATAGAGCTCTTCGTAGGCGAATTCAAGTAATTCAACTTTTTCAAATTTGCGAGCGCTGCCTGGCTCCCCGACAGCCGAACACCGTGTGGCGAATCAGACAAAGATAAGAACTTCATGCGTGCGGTCCCCCACCAGTCACAGTCTTTGAGCTGTTATGAGGTGTGAGGCGACATGCTCTGACTTTGCAGAAACAATAATTCGTTCAGTAACGCCTAAACTAGATATTACAAGAGGTTAAACTTATCGTCGAGGAGCGATCTGTAGAATGTCTGCCACCAAAGAATTTTGATTTCGAGAGGATGACACACAACAATGATCCTGTTGCTCCTCTGATATCGTTTCAAATATAACGAATCAGAGGACGTAAAATACAATTGAAAAATTAAGAGGGAGTAACTAATCTTCAGATTGCTTTAGAAAGAGCAGCAGGTCAGAATGCTCTTAAACCTCTCGATTAGAGAGATTCTTAACGCTAGCAAGATCCTCACATGTTGAAGACAATAATTTTACCTGCAGTAATTGTTTCTATGCCTTCGGACCCATTATAAAAGTAAGTACCGTTAATAAAGCTTCTCATAGATTTATAATAAATGTGTTTCAGCTCTACATGCAGTAAGTATGCAAATTAGTCAGTTGCCAATTAGAGTCACCCTATCAGCACAGCGTACCGCCAACCAACCTTCAAGTTTTGGGCTTGTGTATTTAAAATGTTTATCTTACTTTTTGGTTTTATTATTTGGGTGTTTGATTTTGATCTTATATATATATATATATATATATATGAAATGTAATTTCTCATACATTATTTGTTTTGTGCAGCCGGGGCAACAGGAATGAGACAAATTTTGGAATATAAAGTGGTAGGTTTATTTTAGCATCCATCTCGTAAGCGTTCTCCTCGTACCTTGAGCAGAAGCCCTACTTATACATATGTGTACGTCACGAGGCTCCTCCAATCAGCGATATTAATCGAAATCACGAGGTGACGCTATCTTCTCATCAGGAGTGTTCTTAAGTATTTTATGTAATATGACAGATTTATGAGTTTGGCGATTTGGCGGGCGCCAACAGGTTAATATATTTTATACTAAAGAAAGGATTTCGCCAAAATTTAGGAACAGGGATGCAATTTAGGTAGAGAATAGCCAACACGTTATTAAGCAATATTAATAGAATTTAATTTAATCAATTGATTTAAAAATATCATTACATATATATATATATTTAACTTTCCATATTTTGTACAGAAACGTATTCAG